ATCTCTAGTTTTAGAGGGTACTTAGGATAGAAGTAAGCTAAGCTTAGGATTGCTAGTAGGGTATTCCTAAGCTAGTTAAAGGCTTGTTAGCATTCTAAAGTCTATACAAATAGGGTAGCAGGGCTCTAGAGAGTGGTTAAGGGCTTAGCTATCTTAGAGAAGTTTTCTACAAATTGCTAGTAGAATCTAGTAAATCCTAGGAAGGACTTTACTCTAGTTATTGTCTTAGGAGTAGACTAGTTTTAGAGTACTTTAACTTTATTAGGGTCCACCTCTAAGCCTTTATTAGTTAGGATATAGCTAAGGTAATAGGTATAGGTTATATAGAATTCGCTTTTCTTAATATTAGCCTGTAATCTAGTAGAACAAAGACGCTTAAGGACTTTTTTAATATAGTCCTTATAAGTAGCAAGGTTTTTAGAGTAGATTAGGATATTATTTAGATAGGTAATATAGAAGTTGTCTAAATAATCTATTAGTATATTATTTATATACTACTAATAGGTTATAGGTCTGTTATATAGCCTAAATAGTAGGACTTTGCATTTATAGGCACTATACCTAGTGCGGAAAGTAGTGTACTCCTCTAAGTTAGGGTCTATTTAGATCTTATTAAAGGCAGCACAAATATCTAGCTTAGTAAAGATTTTTACTTTAGCTAGCTAGGATAATAGATTATCTATATAGGGTATTAGATACACATCCTTTCGCGTTAAGCTGTTAAGCTTATAGTAATCTACACAGATCCTAAGGCCTCTATTTAGCTTCTTAACACATAGGATAGGAGAGGTAAATAGGCTCTAACTAGTCTTAATAAAACCTTTCTATAGGTGCTCTTGTATATATTCCTTAGTAGCCTAGAGTTCCTTAGTATTTTAATAATAGAGGGGACTCTAGTAGTTTAGAAGGGGTTCCTCTAGGACTATCTTATAGTTATAAGGCTAGTAGATTAGAAGTTTATTAGCCTTAGCCTTGTTAAAGATGTCCTAATAGGAGTTATAGTTAGATAGGAGCTTCTAATCTAATAAGCTATGTTTAAGAGTATCCTATTTAGATAGGGTTTAGATCCTACGCTTAATCTTATATAGGCTAGTAGTAAAGAATTTATTAGAAGATTTTTTTATATTAAAATAGAAAGTATTAGCAGAAATAGTAGTAATTTAAAATTTTATAGGTGGGGTAACAGTTAGTAATTAGACTAGGGTAGGTGGCGTAATAGGTTTAGTAGCAGTCCTATAAGTAGCTAGAATTTTAAGTATACTACGTATCCTATTAATTAAACTAGGACTATTTTAGTTCTAGTTCTCCTCTTAATCCTAAAGGGCGTCTCTTTATAAGATATTATAGGTAACTAGAGTAGACAGCACTTGCTAGTAGAGTTGTACTAGAATTAGAGGAGCAGGGTCGTAGGTTAGAGGATATTTCTCTAGCTAGATTAGTCAAGATTTATCTATATTAATTAGGATTTAGAACTATTTTAGCTAGTATTATTTAATAATACAATCCTAAGAACCTAAGTCTACTATTATAAAGGGGTAGTTATAAACCTTTTAGCTACTAACTATTATATAAAGCTAAATATAGTAAGCAACTAGGGAGGTAATCTAATCCTAGAACCCTTTAATAGTAAGCTTGTATAGTAGCTTTTAGATAGGTACCCTAAGCGCGGAAGAGATATTATAAGCAATTTTTAAATTAAGAAATAAGTAACCTTAGGCCCTAGTATCTACTAAAGCGTTTAGGCAAACACTAGATCTGTTAAGGCATAGGGTTATACGTGCAAGCAAATAGGAACTAATAAATAATTTAGTTAAGGAAAGGTTTAATAGGTTATATTAAGTTAGGCCTAGGAAGGAGGATCCTCCTAGGCGTTATTGTTTCCTGTCTAATAGCTATCTAAATTAGTTAATTTAGCAGTTTCTTCTTCCTTAGAATTCTTAACAACCTGTTCTACATCTATAGCCTAAATCCTAGGGGGTTTAGGGTAGTTACTAGAGAAGTGCCTAGGCTTTCTATAATTATAGCAAGTTACTAGGATTCCTATTATAGTAGCGCTAGGAGTGGCTAGCGTAGCAGATAGGGGTTGATTGTTTTAAGGGGTAGTGCCTTATTATTGCAAATAGGGCATATAAGGTTTAGCTATTAAAGGTCTATTATAGGGTTTCTAATTAGCGTCTAAATAGGACTAGTTTCTAGAGTGTTAGAAGGGAGTTAGTCCTTTTCTAGATAATAGGGTAGTCTAGGTAGGAGCTAATAAGGTAGGGTATAGGCAGCGTTCTATATTAAAAGTAGTAAGATAATCTACTATAGTCTTAAAATTATTATGCTAATTCTATTAGAAAGTAAGGTTTAGCATCCTTAGGGAAGGTGTAATCTTTATCTAGAGGTAGTAATACTACTCTAATTAGGGTACTTCTCCTCTAATAGCAAGACTCTAGAATTATAACTTAAAGGTAGGGAACGTCTCTATATTAGTTATATATAGGCAGTTAAATATAGTCTAACTCTTAGCTATCTTATTTCTAGTAATAAAGTAGGTTTAAAGGAGGGTAATTATTTCCTTAGCTTTTTAGAACTAAAGGCTTAGGGAATTAGATAGGTAACGTAGCTCTAAGTATTCTCTTACTAGTCCTAAGTAGTGTCCCTAGACTAACACTATCTAAGCTCTAGAAGAGGGGTAGTAATTAGCGTTAATCTCTAGCCTATCCTAAATAAATACTTGCTATTATCTAAAAGTAGGATTAGCACTATTACTAAGTATAGAGATATTTAGCATCTTTTTAGATTATCTCTTAGCTTTTATAGTATATACTATAGGGTTTAATATAGAAGCTAAAGACTAGCTAGGTTAAGTAGTACCTTATATCTCCTTATAGAGGGAGGTGTTATATAACTAATTAGTAAGTTGCTTAACTTGTTCCTCTAACCTCTCCTTTTTAGATAGGGTTAATATATATTTATCTTTAAGGGAGGTATTACTTTAAGATTTCCTAGGAGCATAAGGTACCTTAAGGGATAGATAGGAAGCGGGTCCTTTAAGGAGGGCGTTATTAATTAAGTCTTCCTTATCTAATTTCTTTCTATTATGTAAATAGGCTTTTAAAAGTAGCTAAACTAGAGGCCCTTCCTTTACCCTTATCTAATATTTTATAGTTAATAAGAATAATAAATCTTTTCTTTTCTTTTAGGGGGTTTGGTTATAGGAGGATATTAGCTTTGCCTCTAATTCCTCTAGGCTTTTGGTAGTCTCTAGGTCTCTACCTTAACGCAATCTAACGCGATTTTTCTAAAGGTAATCTAGCACTACCTATAGGTCTAGAAGTCTAAGCCTATAGGCTTTAGTCGTTAGAAGTTCTAATAGCTGTTCTAACTATAGAGTTGCAGGGTTAGATAGTTACTAGAACTAAATTAGTAGCTTAAAATAATAATAAGTGCGATATTCTTAAATACTATTACTAGCTAGGATAATATTCTTCTTGTAATATAATAACTTAGGTAGGTAGGGCATCTAAAAGGTATCCTATACGACTTAAAGGCATATAGGAGTGCGCGTCTGTATAGAAAAGGATAAGATTCCTACACCTATAGGTCTTGTATAAAAGGATAAGAAGAATATACCTATCCTAACTATAGGCGAGCTGTTCTCTATATATATTAGTAAGTTAGGCCTTTATTAGACTAGACTTGGCATAGAACAATAGGCAGGTAATTCTGCCTTATTATTACAATAATAGTCTTAGCAAAAGCCTTATTAGGTTTTCTCTAGATATAGTAGCTACTATAGTAGTAGTTAAGTAGGATAGAAGTCTTATTAGACTAGATAACGTTCTTCTAGTCCTCTAGAGTCTAGCCTTAATAGGCAAGACACTACTTAAGTCTATCCTATCTTATCTTCTTTATTAACCTAGGCTTCCTTATAGGCTTTATCTTGTAGTATCTAGCTACTTTTAGGACTCTCTATACTATAGTAGATAATATATTATATCTATAAAGACTAAGATTACTAGCTATATTAGTATAGCTCTTCTCTCTCCTATATCTATCTTAGCGTACTTGTAAAAGAGTAGCATTATGGATAGTATCTTGCTTACAAGGGCGGCTAGTACAAGGGGCGTCTTTAAGGTATTTAGGAAGGAGTTTTATTATAGGTAAATTTAGCTTAAAGCCACGTTAGCAGGCTCTACTATAGATTAAGTTAATAGTGCGTGGTAAAATACCTATAATAGCACTAATTTAGGTAGTAGATTTGCCACCAAAAGGTGACTTTAGAGTCACAATAAGCGCACAGGTATAGGGATTAGTATTAGGAGCTATAGTAGAGTATAAACACTAAAGGATTAAGTAGATAGACTATTACTACTACTATCTACAGCTTCAAAATTGAGTGTGTGTGGGCTAAGAAAGTTGGGCCGATAGATCAGCCGCTAACAAATACGCTAGCAAGAACTTTTGAAAGCCACCTCCGTAATTTCAAGAGGCCATGCGACGATGTCGACGAAAGATGAGTATAGTTGTAAGCTTGGAACAGCGGGCTGATAATTTCAGCCATCACATCAGACGACCGGCAACAGCAAAAGGGCCTCACACGCAGCGAAAAGCCGGAAGTTTATGAGACATGGCGTGAAGGAGTTGTGATGATAGTTTGCGTTTATTTGTTTTCTTGATTGAGAACAGCCAAGCAGCCAAGTTTGGATGTGGAAGAAGCTTGACTTGGCGTCGTCTTTGTTCATGCAAGCACTACCTCATCATTTTCATAGATGAGGAGGACTTGTGCCGATATCATCGAGGCAAAACCGACAGCGGTAGAGATTGGCCATGATTGGGGGCTTGAAGTCGTAATTGCAAGAATTTTGGGATATTACGGTTACACAACATGTCGTTGCGCCGTGGGGGTACGGATTCCTCGCAATCCGCAAGTGTCGTAGCAAGACCGCAAATGGCATAGGATCGATCGACAAGCTTGAGGCTGAATGGTAGATTGGGCGACAGCCATCGCAATCATGGCTGCATCCATCTGCATTTCACCCTTGACTTCGGTCTCCCAGCAAGCCGACTCCGAAGCAGGGTGGATCGATGATCCATCACACATGTCAAATCAGCATGGTGCTTCCAACATCAACATGACATCACGACTTCAACATTCAGATTGTGTTGACGATTGAGGCGCGCACAATGTCGGGGGTGAACAATATTGCATGCCCGACTAGGCGCTTTGTTTCCAAGCGTCGACTTGCTTTTAAATTAGCTTTTGAATCCCCTATAGAAGTGACAGAAATCGCAGTATTTGCTCGGCAACTGTACGCGATCGACGCGAACGGTGACGCTTTGTTGTCGGGTTTTGCACGACAGCCATTATCTTCTGGATTGTACATTTGTTTTATAATATTTTTGCTGGTACTACCTCTAATTAGTTCACTACGATTCAGACGAGGAAACTTGTCATGGCTTCGAATGAGGACCCAACTCCCCTGGCCTCAGACCTACCTGGAGGCTGGCTGGAGACGCCGGCAGAACCAAGTCGACAACAGTCATATGTGGGCTCACGATACCCGAACCAGGATGACGGCTCAGTCACTCCCAGAGCTCCTCACAGCGAACCCACGGATACAACCTTCATTTCCAAAGCGTTAAACACGAGTAGCCAGAGCTATTACGGCGCAGAGGGTGCTGGGCATTTTACAGACTCCAGTCATACCACTGCAGTGCCATCACCAGATAACGAATCGTCAGCACCTGATACGAGCCGGGATCCTTTGGAGCGAAACACTGCCACACATGGTAACTCCGTATCCCTCCCTATTCCCAATCATGGCTATCTCCAACAACAAACCCCTGATGGGCCCGTGGAGGAGCAAGTGGTTCTAGGAGACGACTCCTCAACTTCTGAGCATGAAGATGAAAGCGAAATCAAAACTACCAAAGCCAGTACGAGGCCAACCCTACAATCGCGACAATCACAACCGATGACCGAAGAAGATCTGTTTCGTGTGTTGTCCCGGCGCAGGACCAGTCAGAGCCAGGGGCTGAGCAAGGCCAGGACCGGACAATCACACAACAGTGCGGAGGAGGATGAAGGAATCAACAACTTGATATCGAAGATGTTTGGACACACGAGGCAAGCCGCATCAGAGGAGGAAAAGACTAGACATCAAGGTGTCATCTTCAAGCATTTGACCGTCAAAGGAATGGGTGTCGGTGCTGCGCTTCAACCCTCTGTTGGCGACTTCTTTCTCAACCCAGCTAGGTTCGTCAAGAACTTGTTCGCAAAGGGTCCCAGGAAGGCAGCAGGCAAGCCACCTGTGCGTACCATTCTTGACGATTTTTCCGGTGTGATCAAGCCAGGAGAAATGTGCTTTGGTCCTCGGTCGGCCAGGCTCAGGCTGCTCCCTTTTCTTGAAGATCATTGGCAATCAAAGATTTGGGTTCGAGGAAGTGGCGGGTGACGTGACATATGGCGGTACAGACGCCGAGGAGATGCGCAAGAAGTATCGGTCTGAAGTCCTCTACAACCCAGAGGATGATTTGCATTACGCCACACTCAAGGTTAAAGACACCCTTGAATTCGCCTTGAAGACCAAGACTCCCGGGAAAGACTCGCGCAACGAAGGCGAATCTCGCCAGGACTATGTGCGCGAGTTTTTGCGAGTCATAACCAAGTTATTCTGGATCGAGCACACCCTCGGAACAAAGGTGGGCAATGAGCTCATTCGCGGTGTATCTGGAGGAGAAAAGAAGCGTGTCTCGATTGCTGAAGCCATGGTTACCAAAGCGTCCGTACAAGCCTGGGACAACTCTACGCGTGGCTTGGATAGTTCGACGGCACTGGAGTACGTCCAGAGTCTTCGCTCCTTGACGAACATGGCACGGATTTCCACCTCAGTCGCCTTGTACCAAGCTGGAGAATCGCTATACGATCTGTTCGACAAGGTGTTACTCATCCACGAGGGCCGCTGTTGTTACTTTGGCCCTACTGAGAAGGCTGCAGAGTACTTTCAGCGCCTTGGGTTCGTCAAACCCGAACGCTGGACCACGTCTGACTTCTTGACTTCGGTCACAGACGAGCACGAACGACACATCAAAGATGGCTGGGAGGATCGTATCCCCCATACCAGCGCTCAGTTCGGCAAAGCTTTCGCCGACAGCGAACAAGCTCAGAACAACATGGCTGAGATTGAGGAGTTTGAGAAAGAGACGCGACGACAAGTAGAAGAGCGTCAAGCCGCTCGAACAAAGGCTACGCACAAGAAGAACTACACGCTGTCTTTCCCCAAACAAGTCATGGCTTGCACCAAGCGCCAATACCTTGTCATGATTGGGGATCCACAGTCTCTTGTCGGAAAATGGGGTGGAATCGGCTTCCAGGCGCTCATAGTCGGTTCTCTGTTTTACAATCTCCCAAACACCTCTGCAGGTGTCTTTCCAAGAGGTGGTGTCATCTTCTTCATGCTGCTATTCAATGCCCTCCTCGCCCTTGCTGAGTTGACGGCTGCATTCGAATCGCGACCAATTCTGCTCAAACACAAAAGCTTTTCCTTCTATCGGCCGGCGGCATATGCGATTGCCCAAACTGTCATCGATATACCCCTCGTTCTGATCCAAGTCTTCATCTTTGATATTGTGGTCTACTTCATGGCAAACCTTTCGCGAACAGCTTCCCAGTTCTTCATCTCGCTTCTGCTTCTGTGGATCATCACAATGACCATGTACGCTTTCTTCCGTGCAATTGGAGCGCTTGTTGGTTCCTTGGACGTGGCTACCCGCATTACGGGTGTCGCTATCCAAGCCCTGGTTGTCTACACCGGCTACCTGATCCCTCCATCGAAGATGCACCCCTGGTTCTCCTGGCTGAGGTGGATCAATCCGATCCAGTACGGGTTTGAAGGTCTTGTCGCAAACGAGTTCTACAATCTGGATATCCAGTGCGTTCCTCCGTTCATCGCGCCCCAGGTCCCAGGTGCCCAGGAGCAGTATCAATCCTGTGCGATCCAGGGAAATACGCCTGGATCCCTTACGGTAGCTGGGTCAGACTACATCAATGCTGCGTACGGCTACAAAAGGTCGCATCTGTGGCGTAACTTTGGAATCATCTGCGCAATGTTCATCTTCTTCGTGGCTCTCACAGCGTTGGGTATGGAGCTGCAGAAGCCTAATCGCGGAGGCGGCGCTGTCACAATCTACAAGCGTGGCCAGGTACCAAAGACTGTTGAAAAGGAGATGGAGACCAAGAGTGTGCCCAAGGATGAGGAATCCGGCAAGGGCGAACCGATCACCGAGAAAGACTCTGGCAACAATGAGGAGTCAGGTAAAACGGTCGAAGGCGTTGCTAAAAATGAGACCATTTTCACGTTCCAAGACATCAAGTACACCATCCCCTACGAGAAGGACGAGCGTACACTACTTAGCGGCATCCAAGGCTTTGTCAAGCCAGGCAAGCTTACAGCGCTTATGGGCGCCTCAGGTGCTGGCAAGACCACTCTACTCAATACGCTCGCACAGCGGATCAACTTTGGTATTGTCAGTGGAGACTTCCTTGTAGATGGCAAGCCACTTCCACGCTCCTTCCAGCGTTCGACAGGATTCGCCGAGCAAATGGATGTCCATGAGTCAACGGCCACAGTCCGTGAGGCTCTGCGCTTCTCAGCACGTCTACGGCAGCCAAAGGAGACTCCTCTACAGGAGAAGTACGACTATGTGGAGACCATCATTGACTTGCTTGAGATGAGGGAAATTGCTGGTGCTGCCATTGGCGTTCAGGGCAATGGCCTCAACCAGGAGCAACGCAAGCGCCTGACGATTGGGGTCGAGCTCGCCAGTAAACCTGAGCTCCTCATGTTTCTTGATGAGCCAACGTCGGGCCTCGACTCTGGCGCTGCCTTCAATATCGTTCGCTTCCTGAGGAAACTGGCTGATGCGGGACAAGCCATCCTCTGCACGATTCATCAACCCTCTGCTGTCCTCTTTGAGCACTTTGACCAGCTTCTCCTTCTCAAATCTGGTGGCCGCACCGTGTACTTTGGTGAGCTTGGGCAGGACTCCAAGACGCTGATTGATTACCTTCAGGACAATGGGGCGAAGAAGTGCAAACCCCACGAGAACCCGGCCGAGTACATGCTCGAGGCCATTGGTGCAGGCGATCCCAACTACAAGGGACAGGATTGGGGCGACGTCTGGGAGAAGTCTTCGCAGAACCAGAAGCTCACCGAGGAGATTCAAAGCATCATCTCTGACCGGCGAAATGCTTCACAGAACGAGGAAGCTCGTGATGACCGCGAATACGCCATGCCGTACGCTCAGCAGTGGCTGGCTGTGGTGTCTCGAGGCTTCGTTGCCATCTGGAGAGATCCTCCGTACGTCCTCGGTGTTACCATGCTGCACATCTTCACCGGTCTCTTCAACGGCTTCACCTTTTGGAACCTGGGCAACTCGCAGATCGACATGCAGTCGCGGCTCTTCTCCGTCTTCATGACCCTTACCATCTCGCCTCCTCTGATCCAGCAGCTGCAGCCCCGCTTCCTCAGCGTGCGTAATATTTACGTGTCCCGCGAGGGCAACGCAAAGATTTACTCGTGGACGGCCTGGGTCTGGGGAACCATTCTTAGCGAACTTCCCTACCGCATCGTCGCCGGCACTCTGTACTGGTGCTGCTGGTACTTCCCACCAAACTTTCCCCGCGACACGTACACGGCCGCCAGTGTCTGGCTCTTCGTCATGCTCTTCGAGGTCTTCTACCTTGGCTTTGGTCAAGCGATTGCCGCCTTCAGTCCAAACGAGCTTCTCGCCTCGCTCCTTGTCCCGCTCTTCTTCACCTTCATTGTGTCCTTTTGCGGTGTCGTCGTGCCTTACAACGGCCTCCCGAGCTTCTGGCAGTCGTGGATGTACTGGCTCACGCCGTTCAAGTACCTGCTCGAAGGCTTCCTCGCTCTCCTGGTCACGGGTCAGGAGATCCGCTGCGAGCCGAGCGAGATGGCGATCTTTCCCTCTCCGCCCGACCAGGATTGTCAAGCGTATGCTGGGTCCTTTGCGCAGCAGACGGGTGGCTATGTGGAGACGCTGCAGGACGGGAACTGTGGATTCTGCCAGTACGCTTCGGGTGACGCGTTTGCAGCCAGCTTCAACGTCTTTCCCCGGTACATCTGGCGCGACTTTGGTATGTTTTTAAACTTTTTTTTTACACTCTTACCTTGCCACTCCAGCTCGGAACAATGGGAACCTACAGATTGACTAACTTTTGTTCGCACGCAGGCATCATGTGGGCGTATATCTTCTTCAATTTCGCAGTCGTCTTTGTCTGCACCTGGCTTTATCTCGGTGGCTTCCGCGAGATCAAGGACGTCTTTAGCCCGGCTGCGAGGAAGCAGAAGAAGACACGGGCGAAGCAGAGACAGAATGGCGATGAAGCGTGATTTCCAAGTGTCTTCGTAGTCTGATTAGTAGAAGCCGTCTTTTCCAATCCGAATTGCCAAAGTTCAATGCAATCTCGGCCTCGGCCCATCAGGCACAATAGCTGGATACCTACCAGCATGCCTACAATGGCTTACCACGGTAATACACACAGTAGGCACAGCAGCAATAAGGCTGGACGACACAGAGGCTCGGCTCGGTACAGCGTGCGGCGCAACAAGGTTCGGGTGAAGTCGTAGCTCACCCCCGCGGCCGGAACATCTTGGCTTTTTGGAGACAGGAACACGGTAATGTGGGGGCAGGGGAGGGGTGGCCACTTTTCTTTTTTGGCAAGGGCTTTGCATCATCGCGTTGTGACGACTGGTTTCCCCGCGAAATCCCCTTTTCGAGAAGATGGAAGCGGGTGTGTGTGTGTGTGGCGAAATCCCCTTTTCGAGAAGATGGAAGCGGGTGTGTGTGTGTGTGTGTGGCGATGTTGGTTGGGGTTGAGAGTCGTGCATGTGGATGGAAGGTTGAGAATGGTGTGGTCACAGGACTTGTGGTAACTGGTGCCGGGGTGAGATGAGCTCATCATGACAACGCAATACCACTTCCCAGAGTCCTACGGTACAGATCTTCCCCCAGGCGCGCATCTCCCACCATGGGATTTTTTTTTTTGGTTTCCTCGGCGGTGCTATTGCTTGACACATACATACCTTGTCAGCCCTCCTTCCTGTGCGCGATTAACAGACTGGGGCCGTGTGTGGGAATGGCGAAACAGGTCTATACCGGCAGTTTGCACGCGCATTGAACGCGGGCTAAGCGTGGCATCGTCCAGGGGACCTGAAATGCCTCATAGAGTAAGTAGGATGGAAGCTTGGCTCAAGGACGGAAAAGCACACCTGACAGCCGGCCACAGCCTTGGCCTGGGCTTTCCCTGGGCGTAAGGGAAGTGGCAGTGGCAGTGGCAGTGGCAGTGGCAGTGGCAGTGCATGACCAGATGGAGCCAATCAGGGAGATGCAAGGGCAAGCCAAAGTCAGCTGTGTTTGCGTCTACCGGTAGGATTGATTGTTGCATCTTCTTCACAATGGGGGCCCGGTGCAGTCAAGTCGAGTGAAGACGGGTACGGTTAAGCGGGAATGGGGAGCCAATGGCATGGATGATGAAGTGATGCGGCGCTCTGACCCGTTTCCGGCCAACGGAAATGTGGGCAAGGTAGAGTCAGTCGCAGGTCGAGAGAATGTCAGAGAGTCTTCGGCCAGCCAATGCGAGGCCGCAGCTTAGTATGCAAACCCTTTCTTTGATCCCCTGTCACGAGGACGAGGACGAGGGCGACTTGCCCGCAGAGAGGGAGGGGGACAAAATGAGCATGGTATGGTAGCGGCAGAAGCACCACCAGCAGTCAGTGTGTTTGCAACTTTGCACACGGCCAGAGTGAGATGGACGTTGTTACTTGTGCGTGGTCGGCAGGTCCAACGGCGCGTGTTGGCTGCCGGTCGCTTGTTCCGAAGACAGCCAGACCAGCCTCTGTCTTGCTCCGCGTTATTTTCGTCGCCCTGAAGCCGAACAAGACTCCCACCACGAGAACACGTAGGTTTGGCCAATCAGCTCGGCTTGCGCAAACGACCGTCCGGCCCACAGCTACACTGCTGCTGAGGCATGTCGTCGGGCTCAAGGCTCATCCTGCTATTAAAGAGAGCGTGGACCCCGGGCTTCCTTTCGTTGCAAGCCCACTTCCTCTTCATCTGACCCAAGACTTTGTCCGTCAACCGGTGTCAAAACAACAGCGATTTCGTCTTTATTCGACCTCGACGACTTCTCCTTTTACCTCTACCTCTACTTGCACATCTACATCCACATCTCCCCTCTTCACAGGCACAATGGTCTCCCAAACTGTCAACAAGACCAATCTCCACCCCTCGGGTGTGCAGTGAGTTCCCGGCGTGGAAGAAGAAAGCAGCAGCAGCAGCAGCAGCAGCAGCAGCTAACCTTGCATCCACCAGGCCAAACAAGGAACACACTGAAATCGAGGAATCTCTCCACGACAAGGCACACATTGACTACGACCGTGTAGCTATTGTAAGCAGAGACGCCTGATGAAATTTCCCTGTCCACTCCAATACTGACTCGACCTTTTTCTCCTCCAGATTGCCAACCCTTCAGTCGCTGCTCTCTACGAAGATGCCCTCGTCTACGAGACAGGCTCAGCCATCACAGCCTCTGGTGCCCTCTCGGCATATTCTGGTGCAAAGACGGGCCGCTCGCCCTCAGACAAGCGCATCGTGGAAGAAGACTCTTCCAAGAATGAAGTTTGGTGGGGACCTGTCAACAAGCCGATGAAGGCTGACGTAAGTGCTTTCTCTTTTCTTTTCTTTTCTTTTCTTCTCCTCTCCTCTTCTCTCCTCTTCTCTCCCTTTCCCCTTTGGGAATCCTCGCAAAAGTCGCAAAAGTCGCGTCAGTCTGGAGCGAAGATGGGCGGCAGACGTCATTGGTCATGCACGCTAGGCGCATACCCGAGGAGAGGAAGTCGCTGCCCGCATCCTTGCACGTGGCGGCCTGGGGGGGCTTGGAGCTTGGCTGCCCCGCATCTGTCCGCATCATCCCTCCCCATCAGGAAGATCATCACGTGCTTTGTCTTTCATGTGAATTCACTGTGGCTGACATGACATCCCTAGGTCTGGCGTATCAACCGCGAGCGTGCCATTGACTACCTCAATACCAGGAAACGCATCTACGTCGTTGATGGCTTCGCAGGATGGGACGAGCGCTACCGGATACGCGTCAGGGTGGTTTGCGCTCGTGCCTACCATGCTCTCTTCATGCGTAACATGTTGATCCGTCCGTCGAGAGACGAGCTTGAACATTTCACCCCAGACTATACCATTTACAACGCTGGAGCCTTCCCCGCAAACAGATACACTAGCGGTATGACTTCATCGACGTCGGTTGCGCTCAACTTTGCCGACAAGGAGATGGTCATCCTCGGCACCGAGTATGCTGGTAAGATTTGTGAACCCACCTCACTAAGAACGAATCTAACGATCCCATAGGTGAAATGAAGAAGGGCATTTTCACAGTCCTTTACTACGAGATGCCCGTCAAGCACAACGTGCTCACGCTGCACTCCTCTGCAAACGAGGGCCAGAACGGCGACGTCACCGTCTTCTTCGGTCTTTCCGGTACTGGCAAGACCACCCTGTCAGCCGACCCCAAGCGTGCCTTGATCGGTGACGACGAGCACTGCTGGAGTGACACCGGTGTCTTCAACATTGAAGGAGGATGCTATGCCAAGTGCATTGGTCTCTCTGCCGAAAAGGAGCCCGACATTTTCGGCGCCATCCGCTTTGGATCGATCCTGGAGAATGTCGTCTTCGACCCCGTGACCCGTGTTGTCGACTACGACGACGACACTCTGACCGAGAACACGCGCTGCGCATACCCCATTGAATACATTGAGAACACAAAGATTCCTTGCATCTCGTCGCAACATCCCAAAAACATTGTCCTCCTCACCTGCGATGCCCGCGGCGTCCTTCCCCCCATCTCCAAGCTCAACCCCGAGCAAACCATGTACCACTTCATCTCTGGATACACCTCCAAGATGGCTGGAACAGAGCAAGGCATCACTGAGCCACAAGCGACCTTCTCCTCGTGCTTTGCTCAGCCCTTCTTGGCACTCCACCCCATGCGCTACGCCAAGATGCTCGCAGAGAAGATTCAAGAACACAACGCTGACGCCTGGCTTCTCAACACTGGTTGGGTCGGTGCGGGCGCTTCCACCGGTGGCAAGAGGTGTCCCTTGGTAAGATTTCTCCTTTCCATGTACAACGGTAACTAAGCTAACGCTCCTCTCCAGAAATACACCCGCGCCATTCTCGACGCCATCCACTCGGGCGAACTCGCAAAGGTCGAGTACGAAACCTACGAGACTTTCGGTCTCAGCGTACCAAAGACGTGCCCCGGCGTTCCCGACGAGCTGCTCAACCCGGCCAAGTCGTGGAATGGAACGGCCGACTTCAAGGGCGAGGTGGACAAGCTGGGTAGGCTGTTCATGGAGAACTTCAAGAAGTACGAGGACCAGGCTACCGACGCTGTCCTCAAGGCGGGACCCCATGTATGCTGCTGCCCCCAAAAACACTAGACGCAAACATGTGTGCGTGTGTTTATCTTTATTCTTGGACATGAGGCCGTTTTCTTACGACTTTTTTTCTACAGATTGGCTGAGGAAAATGATTCCCCGTGTTTCTGGTATTTCTCTTTCCCCTTGGTTACAGTTTTCGCGGTCGATTCGCTCGATCTCAGCGGCTCTCTTTACCTTTTTGTCCCCGACGCCTTTTCTCATCCAACGAGGGGCTGTGTTTTTTCTGTCTGCATCTATTTGTATATATGCGCTTGGAGCCAGCCATCTTGATGTCGATGGTTTAATATCGACATGGACATCACTTGCATAAGTAGCCGTAGTTTTTATTTGGTATCGGGAAAAAGGGGGCAGAGCCACGCTAGCGAAGTTTCTTAGGAAATTTGAACCTTTACAAGAAAGACAGGTCGATTCTTTGTTGATGTTGATGTTGACGAACATGTTCCTTTATAGTGAAGAGGTGGGAATTGTGTGGGGGTGGGGGAGTGCTGCATGATAGATTGGGAGAGACTGGGTTGGTGCATTGCATTGCATTGCATTGCATTGCATGTGATAAGCTTTATCGAGTGGAGGGTTCTCTGTAACATGGTACGTCTTTCGATAGTGCGATTGCGACATTGAAGTGCGTACTTGGCCTTTTCTTATCTCCCTCGCTGTATGTGTGTTGTGGCATCAATAGAGGAAGCGGTTTACTGAAGCTTGGGTTTAGATTCATTGCAGGACTGGGAGTGACTGCCTTGTCTTCCTGTCTCTCTCGCTTTCCGTATTTTTCGGTCTCTCTCCACTGGGGCCTTTCTCTGTCTCTCTCTATTGGAGCCTTTGCAGCCCACATCTACAATCATGGCCTCCAAAACCCTCCCCACAAAAGTAAACCCCACATCCGTACTCCACACCTCCCTATCCTCCAGCCCGCCCCTCATCACCAGCGCAAAGGGAAACCACCTCTACCCATCCACCGGCCCACCCATCTTCGATGCCTCAGGCGGTGCGGCCGTGTCCTGCATCGGGCACGCGCACCCACGCATGCTACACGCCATCTCTGCCCAACTTTCCAAGACCGAATACACATTCAGCCCGCACTTCAGCACACCCGCGTACGAAGCACTCGCGCAGTTCCTAGTCGATAGCACAGGCGGTGTCATGAGCAAAGTGTTTGTGACGGGATCTGGGAGCGAGGCAATCGAAGCCGCAGTCAAAATGGCACGACAGTACTTTGTAGAGTTGGAAGGGGGAAACACGCAGCGGACCAGGTTCATCGTCCGGGACAGGAGTTATCATGGGAATACCCTGGGCAGCCTCGGGGTATCTGGACATGCGGCCCGGAGACGGATTTACGAGCCTCTGCTCATGGATACGGTATCTTTTGTTGCTCCCTGCTATGCCTATCGCGATCTGCGCGCCCAAGAGAGCGAGGAGGCATATGTGCGGCGGTTGGCCCAGGAGTTGGATGAAGAGTTTACACGGCTGCCGTGCAAGAGCGTGGCAGCTGTCATTCTCGAAACCATGGCTGGTGTCACGCTGGGTGCTGTTGCGCCGCCCCCCGGCTATCTCGCGGCCATGAAGACGGTGTGTGAGAGACACGGTGCGCTCTTCATCCTGGACGAAGTCCTTTGCGGAATGGGCCGCACCGGAACCCTGCACGCATGGCAGCAAGAGGGCGTCAGGCCGGATTTACAAACCGTGGCTAAGGGACTGGGGGCGGGTTATGCGCCGATTGGGGCGCTGCTGGTCGGGCGCAAGGTTGTGCGTGTGTTGGAGCGGGGGACGGGTGGGTTTGTCCATTTCCAGACGTATCATGGACACGCGGTGAGTTGTGCGGCGGCGTTGGAGGTGCAGAGTATCGTCAGGGATGACAAGTTGCTGCTGAATTGTAGGCGAATGGGCTTGCTTTTGGGGGAGAGGTTGAGGTGGAGGTTAGGCAGGCATGGGAATGTGGGGGATATCAGAGGGAGAGGGTTGGTGTGGGCTGTAAGATACTAAAATGTTTCCTTTTCTCCTTTTATTTTTTTCCTAGCAGACGCAGACTACATGTACGACATGTACAGCACTACTGACACTCCGAGTAGATTGAGCTCGTCGCTAGCAAAGCTACAAAAGCACCCTTCCCAGTGACCGACAAGATCGCTCCACGAATCCATGCAAAGGGACTGCAGGACTTTGGTATTGCGCTTATGCCTGGAGGCGGTGTAGCAGATGGCATCAATGGGGATTTGATAATCCTCGCGCCAGCGTATAATATTACCAAGGAGGATGTGGAGCTGATGGTAGATCTGACGGCGAAGGCGATTGAGAATGTATTAGGCGCAACGGATGAGATGGTAAGACTATAGTGGTTATAGTCACGACTCACACGGTAGCGATGAGACGATCTTACAATGGAAGTTGATGAATAACACATATCCAACGTCACACCAACCTCAGACTATGAAAAAACTCGGTCCGAAAGCATCGTGCCCTCCGACCATGACAGACTTCCTCCCGATACTAAAGCGCCTGGCCCCACCACCACTGTACAAACCAGCACCGCAATTAATCTGTCCAGTGCGCAGAACAAAGTGATTGAGCCGGAGCTACTGGAGCTGTATAGGACGATGGTAGAGAAGGACGTCGATAAACAGGTAGGTTTCTTGTACAAGTACGGTACTTGTCTTTATTCACGGTAGTTTGTGCAGGGCAGATAGACGCGAATGTCAGAGATGTAGATGTACGGTAGATGTTTGATGTAGAAGTATACTAAAGTTAATAAAACAGGTGTTTGACTTGCCCGCACTGACAGATGTGAAGCTCGGTGTCGACGGGCCAGAATTTGTGTCGGCGCTGGCGTTGACAGATGGATCTGTGACGGGAGGGGGCGGAGATGATGGTAAGATTAATTCGAGTCGTGTACATGTAGTTTGGAGCGCGAGTAAGCTCTTTGGCATGAGCGGGTTCAGAGTCGTAAGTCTTATCCTCGATCCCATCCCGCAGAAGATAAACACTAACCCCAGCCCCCAAGGCTGCCTCGTATCCCAGCACAACCCAGCCCCACACTCCGCCGTCTCTTTCCTTACCATGAACCACGCCAACAGCCTCTCAGCCTCCTACCTCTCCTCCCTGCTGACCAGTCCGCACCTCCCCTCCCTCCTGTCCCTCAACGCACAACGCCTCAGCGCTTGCTGTCGCATGCTAACCGATGCCCTGCGCTCCTGGGACATCGAATTCGTCGCACCCACGCACGGTATTTTCCTCTTCGCGAGGCTGGCAAAAGGGGCGAGGAGCGCGGGTGAGGAGAAGGAATTTTATGATCGCTTGGCTGTCCAGAGGGTCCTTGTGGGTCAGGGGAGGTTTTGCAAAGGCGTGGAGAATGATTATGGGTGGGCGCGGATACGGTTCAGTGTGCCGACGGAGATTTTGGTCCAGGCGTTGAAGAGGATCAAGGTGTTTCTTTCATTGGCAGAACGGGCGGTTGGAGGTGGTGATGGGGTGTTTTTCGATTGATGGGTTGACTGTGTGCTTCGGGTTGAGAAAATCCAGTTTCCTAGGTTGTTGCAGTTATGTGATGGACAGCGACCACACTTCAATGACTTTCGAATGGATTTGAGAATGTGTTATAGTACACGGACAGGCTCTGCTCTTTTATTTACACTCACACGTTTGCCGCTTCATCAGGAGTAGCTGTGGCTTCATCAGAAGTAGCAGTCGCTCCATCCAGAGTAGCAGCCACTTCATCAGAAGTAGCCGTAGCTTCAAGAGGAGTAACAGTCGCTTCATCAGAAGTAGCAACCACTCCATCAGCAGCACCACTCTCCCCACTCTCCCCCTCCCCCTCCCCGAGCGGCTCCCACGGCTTCTCCAACCCAACCGCCACCTCGCCTTCCTCCATCGCCCTCTGCGCCGCCTGTTCCTGCGCCCTCCTCAGCTTCCTCGCACTCACCACCGCCCGAGGATTCATCCTCTTAGCCACCGGCACCGTCGCGCCAGCACCCATTTCCACCAAATCCACGAGCGCAAACGCCTTGCGTGCAAACTCGCGAATCTCGTCTTGATTCCGCAATAGCACGTCTCCATGTCCCGTATAATGGGCACTCAAGACGCCAGTTTGGCCGCCGAGTTTGCCGGATTGCAGGGTGCGAAAGGACACCATGGTGTCGCCTACCATGCCGGTTATAGACTGGCGAAAGGAAACTGCGCTAAAAAGGTACTTGACTGGTTTCGTGCTTTCTGGCGCGTCCTCTGTCTCGCCAGGAATGGTCCATGTGGGAATCTCGAGCTCGAGATCGGGTGCCCATAATCGTCCCCCTTGCTCGACGTTCAACTTCACTTGTTCTAGCCACTCCTTCACCACTTCCACGCTTGATGGATTTTTCATCTTCAGACGTGCGGAACTGCGGAACCGAATGTCTACTGCTTTATTTGGGAGCAGGACGTTGTGGATGCGCTTGTCGAATCCGAGAGTCAAATAATGGAGCCGGGGATTTGAACCGGCACGTCCAGTGCGCATCTGGATGCGGAGGTCGGGTAAGAGTTGGCCGCGGTTAAACGAGGGTTGGATGGCAGAAGGGATAAAGTCGTAGATTAGAGAGGGGCCTTGCATTTGGTTCGTTGCGGTAAACTGGGGTGAAGTGAGGAGGCTGGTAAGGCCGGGCGTGAAAGGATTAAATGTCAACGGGGGAGCGACAGTGGTCGTGGTGGGTTCCGGAGTGGTCGTGGTAGGAGGACTGGTGTTTAGTGGGAAAAGGGCTTGGCCTAGTTCAGCGCTCATAAAATACTCAGATTTAGAAGACCAGCTGCCCGCAGCTTTAGGCGGTGGTGATATGTCTGCTGCGGAGCGATGCATCGCAGCTACCACGCGGTCTACATGGGCAGAATAAGTCTCTGGCGTACTCACGGGTTTGTCAGTTGCTTCCTGGTGCTCTTCTTGGTACTCTTCCTGGTGCTCTTCTGAAACCTCTACATCTTTAGGCGTAGCAGATTTTGATTTAGGCATCAAGTTGCGCCCAAACGCTGCCTTCCTGTTCTTTTGATCAAGAGCATTCTCGGCCAGAAAGACAGGCATGAGGTAATTGCTGTCCTTTGCCACTTCCACAATCTGTGCATCTATCGAGTGCGTTACCTGATCGTTCAGGGGAAGCAATCTGATGAGAAGTCGCTCAGCTTCTGCAACTGCACTCCCGTCGAGGCCACGAATCCATATCTGCACAAGTCAGCCATGTAACCAAAAGATTAGCAGAATTGTCACATACAATAGCCCCATCGACCTTTTCAATCACCGTCCGAGTCAGCATCGACACTGTATCAATATCGATCTGTGAAAACATCGAGGCCAAATGTTTTGGCTTCGGTATTTTTCCTTCTGCTAGGACTCCGAGCCAAGGTCGCAGATTGAGGTGCTTGGACTCGGTATTGGCTAAAGCTTCTTCGATGTCGTTCGTTGCATACTCTGCTGTGGTTTTATCTGCTGTGATGCGGAGAATGCCATGCTGCTGATGAAACTCAAACTTTGCTCGCCGTGTCTGCCCGATCTTGTCAAGGACTGTGTCGCTTTCTAGAGGCCATTAGCAATGAACTGATCCAGCATCAAGAACTGTGCGCACCGCCAACATTGAGCAGCGCAATCTGCCATGGCTGCAGAGACATCTCAATCTCGCCGGGAGCTTCTATCTCTTCCAATGGTTCCAATTTCCAGCATTCTCTCAAGATGCGATCCACCATGAGCTGCTTGCTGACAGACATCTTCTTTGGTCTGATGGTGACATCGAGGCCGGGAAGTCGGTCCATTATATCCGTAGTTCCTGGTTGCCATTCGGAGCGTTTCACAGGCCGCTTGGGTGTGCCGTTCCCAGACGTGAGACCTTCGATGACCTTCTTGTCGACATCATGGCTCCTGACGTGCTTGGCGATGGAGTAGAAGGCTGCCAATTGCCAATGTGTAAAGCCAGTATTCAATGTCTTTTGGAGCTTGACGAACGTCGCCTGCGAGACATGCTGTGGCTCGTTAGGCTCACCAGCAATTTCGGGACGCAAATTTTCGATTTGTCGATGACTCTCGTAGCGCGTGAGGACTACCTTTTCCTCGTTCAGCGAAGCAGCAAAATCAGGAACATAGGTTATCGGCGCCCTTTTGGGCCGCGTCACAGCAGAGTCGTCGATGCCCAAATTTTTATTCTTGTCTGCAATCTCGCTGACGACCAGAATCTCCGCATCGTCCCCCAGTGTCTTGATACCTCCTAGTCTAGCCGAAGTCTCACGGACAGTCTTTCCCATTCGCTTTCGAACCCTGTTGAGCGGTTCCTTTTGTCGTATGATTTTCAGAGGTTGTGGCTCCGCTTCTGCTGATGCATCTTCGCTGGAAAGATGAGCGGATGTGGAAAATCGGGAACGAGAAGTTTGCCGTGCAAATCGAGGAAACGATGGGCGGGCAAATTGGACATCACATCGTAGGCAAACGAATGCACTGGGAGCACGAGGCGCAAGCATAGAGAAGAGGCGGCTGAGGCGTCAGTATCGTGGTCATTGGACTGCTCGCATTGCGAGGGCTTGCAAATGCGAACTTTCTGTCGTGACCGCCTTTGGCCTTGCCGATTCTGCCAGGCGCGGGCTCACGTGACACGCGTCATTCTCCAGTGATTCTCCAGCTCCAAACCGTTCGTGCGAGACAATGGCAGGATTTTTTTTTTGGCTGATCTATACAAAGCGATTAATACATTATATACATTCTAATATAAACCAATCTCCCGGAAAAGCTAGACAGGACGTCGCCAGCTGCACAGATCCTCTCTCAGATCAAACTCATCGACTTCGTGGTGAGGACGATGGCGTGCACGCGCAGCCTCTGCTTTCATCTGAGAGGCCTGTTGCTCCAGACTGCCCCTGCCGCGCACACCTGGCCCTTTGGAGTGGGCATCAGCAGGTCGCAATGTCTCGTGTGACTTGCGATGCGTGCTACTGATTCCACGCGTGTGCCTCGCCTCACTTTCGCTCACCGAACTGCTGCTGTCCGCTGTTGCAAATCGGACGGGCTGGTGTCGTTGCGGGTGTGGGTGCGAGTACGGCTTTTCTCGGTCGCCCCAGCCGTCTCCGCCGGCAAAGATGTCTTCAATACATTCGTCTGCTTTCAGCTCGCCTGGCTGCGCTGACCAGTAGGCAGCTAGGGTGCGCCGGTACATGTCTTGCAGCTCGCCCGCTTCTCGAGATTTGCTGTTCAAAGTTGGGGCAGCTGTCGCCAGGTCAGTAGACGACCCACAAGCCAAAGGCGGAAAACATACCTCCAGACTCCTCCAGCTCGGCCTGTTCGCCAGCCATGATGCCTGCAATACCGCTGAAGACTTGGGCTGTCTTGAGCGCAGGCGCAACAAAGTTCTTATCGCCCTCGGTCTGCTTCATGTAGATGCCCACATTGAGTGTGCTATTGACTTTGCTGTCCTGCATAAGATAACGCCTCTTGACGCCAGCATCTTCCCCTGGCGCAGGCATCATTTCGCTGGGTTCCACATATTCTGCGAGGTTCAGCTTCACATGTCCCAGAGTGATGCGCTCGCCACGCCCTGAGCCACCACCATATTCTTGAACGACCTCGAACTCGATCCAGCTCTCCTGAAGCATGCCATTCTTGTCGACAGTCAAGCGGACGGGGAGCGAAACGTCGTAATTATAGAGGACTTTGTGATCACGGACAGGACAGTTCTCGGTGCGGCCGCGGTGGTCTGCAGCAGTCGAGTGGGATAAGTGCCACTTTATGAATGAGGATCCAGAGGCAAGCGGGACGTTGTTGAGGTCAATAATCTACATGGTCTCGTCAGGTCGCTGTGGTGCGTTGGGTTATTTGTTATGTGCAGTGGTGTATTTCTCACTCTCAGGTAAAGGTCGAATTTCGGCTGTGCTTATGTCAGACATGATGTTGTCTTGTATACATGTATACTCATATAACTAGAAATATATATATCGTCATCGCTGTACTCACCCGTCGGTTCTTGGGCACTGCAATAGTGAGCGTTTGAGTCGCAAAAGCGACAGCGCGGCTCGTGGCCATGGCTCACCGAAGGCTTGCATGTTGAAAGGGCGAAGAGGGAGGAGAATAGGACGAGAGATGCGCGACGTTGGTTGGCACGCGTCCCCGGCCGAGTGTCAGTCAGGCTGAGGGAGGGTGTGACAGGGTTGTGGCGATGAAAGCAGCAGCAACGACGGACGAGCTGCGAACAACCGTTCTCGAACCCTCTTCGGCCCTTTTCTCTCCATCGTCCCCGACACGAACGTCTGGCACCCTCCCCTCCGCCCCTCCCCGCCAACACCAAGATGAACTCCTCACAGCCACACCAGCCATGCCCAAAACGACGACGCCAGCCGCAGATTCAGATCCATATCCAGATGCCATTGCTGACTGTGTTTTGACCGCGTTTGACCAGCTCCCCGAGAAGCGGAAACCTCGGGAGCGTGGTGATGGCCTGAGGGAATGGGTTCCACTCGCCGGCATAGTGGTATCTCAAGGTACATACACAATCGCTCATGTGATCCTGGCAGCTGTTCCATCGCTTACGCTATGCTCATGATTTGACAAAAGGCGATAGACTGGCATGTGTCTCACTAGGGTAAGCTTACCGGTACCGTCATCAATTTATGTTTTTCTTTGACTGCATCTTGATCCTTGAACACGGTACATAGAATGCAAAGTCAAAGTCTGCGGCAGCTTGGACAGAAGAATTCGACCGAAAGCCAATGTGATGATGAATCCAGGACAAGACCAGATATTAAACACTTCGGCCAAAGTTTGATAGTTGTCGGCCGTTCAAAGCCATCCAAAACCACAGACAACATGATCCACAGAGTATGACTGACTGACCAATGTGTCAGCACGGGCATGAAATGCCTCCCCTCCAACAAACTTCCCATGGCCAAGGGCACTATCCTTCACGACTGGCATGCTGAAGTCGTGGCCATTCGAGCCTTCAACCGCTACCTCTTGGACCAATGTCTCCAACTCAGCACCCCACCGTACACCCCTTCCGACTTTCTTCGACAGCGTTCAGCAGACGAGTACACCGACTCTGAATACCAGCCCTTCACCATCAAAGACAACGTACGCATCCACATGTACTGCTCCGAAGCCCCCTGCGGCGACGCAAGTATGGAACTCGTAATGTCCACTCAAGAAGACGCTACACCCTGGACCACTGCCCCTGCTACCGTCACCTCCCCATCAGCATCAACATCAACATCAAAACCACCACCACCAACACCCACCACCGAAGCAGCCCTCCGCGGCCGCACCAACTTCTCTCTCCTCGGCCTCGTCCGCTGCAAACCCTCCCGCCCAGATGCCCCCCCAACCCTAAGTAAATCCTGCACTGACAAACTCGCCCTTGCACAAGCCACCTCCCTCCTCACCAGCACCACCACCCTCTTCCTCTCCCCCTCAAACGCCTATCTCACCACTCTCATCCTCCCCACCTCGCAACACATCCCCTCCGCCTGCTCCCGCGCCTTTTCGCGCTCCGGCCGCCTAGGCGCGCTCAGCGATGCGAAGATCCAGGGCTGGAAGGGCGGCTACAAGTTTCGCCCTTTTGAGGTGATGAGTACGACGAGGGAGTTTCGGTGCTGTAGAAGAGCGGTGCTGCGTGGCGAGAAAGCAGTGCCGAGCAACCTCAGCGCGGTGTGGACGCCGACATGGCAGGAGACATTGATAGGCGGGGTGTTGCAGGGCAGGAAACAGGGGGATGTGAGAGGTGCGAGCCGGATTTGTAGGAAGAGGATGTGGGGGTTTGCGATGCGGATTGCGGGCGTTGTTGAGGCCGTTGTTGGTGGAAGAAGGGTGTTGGGCAAGAGGACGTATGGCGAGGTCAGGACGGATGAGGTGTTTGATGCGCGGACGAGGGTGAAGGAGGATATGAAGAGTGGGGGTTTGCAGGGTTGGGTGGGGAATAGAGGGGATGAGGAGTTTAGTCTTGATGAGGTGCGAGAGTAGAAGAGAAGAGAATCACGACTTTTCATCATCATACCCATCCCCAAACTCTCCTTGATCCCATCATCATTCACCCTCCCCCACTCAGCCCCCCGTCCACGCCTCCACACCTCCCTCCCCCTCTACAAAAACACCCCACCCACCTTCCCTCGACCCCCACCTATCTCCAATGACCTCCATCACACCCACCATCTCCCCCCTTTTCCCCTCGCCTCGTCTACCACCACCTCCAACACCGCATCCACCTCCTCCATACAAAGCCCTCGCATCCCCCCTCCGTCCTGGCATCTTTCCCACCAAGACTTGTAGATCTAGCGCCGGCGCCAGTATACCTAATAGTAAGGGGACGTCAGTGCGGGTGGCGAAGATACTTGGAGATGTGGGAGGTGGGGGCAGTGTAGTTTTGTCCTGCGGCGGCGGCGGCGGCGGCGGCGTTTTTGTGGTGGTGGTAGTTGGATTAAGAAGCAGTGTGTGCAGGGAGTAAGTGCGGGTTAGATGTGAGAGTGTGGTTAGGAAGGGGGATATTAGGGCGGGGCCGGAGGTTGAATTTTTACGGAAGAGGGGTGTGAGGGTTTGAGCGAGGTTTGTGAGGAGGAGGAAGGCAGGTTTGGGTTGGTGTTGGTGTGGTAGTGGTGGTGTTGCAGGAGTCGGAGCTGGAGCTGGAGCTGCGGAGTGTGACAAAGGGGTAGGATCAAGGATAGGCGCGTTTGCCGCGTCATTGAAAAGCATTTCCTCGTCCGATGCTTCGTCCTCGCTGTCAGCAACGACTGTTCGTTTGGAGGGTTGTGCGGTAATGTTAGGTGTATGCTCCTCTGCCGCCACCACAGTCTCGGTTACTTGCTGCTCATCCCCTTTTAACGTCACCGCTGGTCTTTGACATCGACCTTCGAGTTCATCTCTGATTTCATCGACGGCTTCCTTGACGCCTACAAAGTCAAAGACGCGCATCATCTTGACTCGATCGAGGAGTTTGGTTGCAATGTCTTCTGCACTGGCGTCGAGCTGGACGTCGTGCAGGGAAGAGCAGAGGGAGGACAGGGTGGCATGGCTGTTCTGCAACCGCGCAAGGATAACCCTATACAGTGCCAACACGTCAAAGTTTCCCGTTGTGTCAATGACCGCAGCCATGGAACCTTCATGCTTGAGTAGGGAATCGGCAAGTAGCATCCTGCAGATCTGGTAGACGTTAGTGTTCACGTCCATCTGATGTGGTCTCTTGCCACTATTTCTTCACACCACCTAATATCCCCCAGAACAAGTGGAACGCAACAATGCATCAGGAAAAAAGAGTATAATTAAACGCCACAATCAAAACCACACTCCACAACTCACCGCACCTGCACCCTCATCTCCCCAAACCCCAACCGCCCTCCCAACCTCTACACCCCCATCAAGCGCCCTATCCAAACTCTCCACGCCCGTCTGAATCCATCTATCCGTATCCCGTGTCTTCACCGGATCAGTGCTGAAGAACTCCTTTATCAAACCAGCGACCTCCTCTTCGCGGAGAAGGTGTGCGGCGAGTTGGGGTTCTGCAGGACGCGTGGCTTCTTGCACTTCCATGGAAACTTGCGCTTGGTTGGCAACCGTGCTGCGGACTTACCACGGTGAATTGAAGATTTGTGGCACCTGTGAGTATAAAGTGAGGAGTGGGAATGTACCCAGGTTGGGTGGTGACGATTGAACTTCTCGGAATGCATTCCGACGAAACCGGGGGGGGGGGGGTCGTTTAGGAAGAAATTCGATCGATCATGGGTACTAGATCGGCGACCGCGTCGCCAGCCAGTCCCCGGAAATTTTGGAGATCACAATCAAAGCTGTTTGTGTTACGTGCCAAGACCAAGTTCATCAACACATGTACTATTTCACAAGACTCACGCCTTTCATAAAAAAAGTCTTGTTGAATTCAGGTTTGAAAGCGGAAAGCAGGTCGCAAGGAGGGGAAGGAGCTGCCTGTATGGATCCCATCCTCATGTGCCCATCTTCCTAAACACATACTGTTTATAAGCTATACAAAACTTCATGTCCCCCATCCTCTGCCCCGCTCTCATATTAAAACATGCCTTTGAAGTGAAAAAAAAATGTACCAACAAAATTTGGCCTTCTTTTGAGGTTGGACTCAACTCGAGCCAGCCCAAATGCATGCAACCCAGTATATGTGTGAGTTGCCTTATCCAGACCGCGTTTCTGCTCAAAAGTCCAAGATACTCCGGCGCCATCCAAAGAGGGGGGGGGGGGGGTTTGGGGGTTTGGTGCTTTGATTCCGAGGAAGGGATGGATTATGATCGACGGAGTAATAAACAGAAATCGTTGCCGCCTTGACTTTGTGATGCGTGTACTGTCAGCCACATTTTGCTGAAGACCAAACAAGACTCCCACTTTTCATGGTGCTGATATACACCGACCCATGACAACTTCATTAGTCCATGTAGCCTATTATTCAAGCAGGACGACGACGTCCGCCTTTCAAGCTCTTCACCCGGTTGAGGAATCCACCATTGGGCTTATTCTCGCTGGTAGGAGATCCAATGCTCTCAGTGGTCATGGCCCGGGTCAAGGCGTTGCGACCAGGTGGCGACGATCCCTCGCCTTCAGCTTCATTTGCCTTGATTGATGCACCCTTCGCCTCGAATGCCTTGTCGTAATCGTCGCTAAAGAACGGATTACGCTCAGTGGCTTTGTTCTGTGACAATGCTCCAGCGCTGTGGGAGCCATTAGCACCATTGGGACTCGTGGCGCCATATCGAGGATCTGGAGAGGTAATGCGAGGTGCAGATTCACCAAAACGAGGAGGGTTACGGGGCTGCGAAATGCCACGGAAGCGCTGGGCAATCGACTTCTTGCGGCCAAGCCCGTTCTCAGCCAGCTGCTTTTGCCTTTGAGCCTCGTAGTCTTGCTCGATAGCCTTGCGTGATGCTGGAGCACCATCAAGGAAGGTCGAAGTTCCCAGGCCGTGTGTCGGTTCTCCGTGCAACACATCATCTCTTCCCTTGGCGCTAAATTCAATCGTGGGCTTCTTCCAGTCGTTCTCGATTCCGCCAAAGTCTGTGAAGCCCTCTGCCCCCCTGCCATGAATACGGTCGAGGTCGATTTTGGAATTCAGAGGCCCTGAGCCACCCAGTGAGTTGTTGGCTGATCCTGCCGGGAAGGCATGCATCGGCGCATTCTGATCCTTCTTTCGGTTGCGGTGAGGTTGGACCGCGTCATACGGACCGTCGTGGTGAATCATGCTTGGACCGTAGATGCCCGTGACATCGAGCTTGTCGATCAGATCGAGACCCTGCGGCTTACGAGTACGTCGAGAACTAGACTTGCCATCTTTACCACGGTCCTCACGCTCTCTGCGGCGTTCCCTACGCCTGCGGTCATCATCAAGCGAGCCTTTGTCGATGACGGAAGACTCGGAGTTTCGGCGGGGGCGGCGATTCTCGCGGCGCTCAGGGCTGTTCGGGTGTGGTGGGCGAGAACCAGGCTGGCCCCGCGGTCTCGGGGGCGCTCGAGGGCCGCCTCTCATCCGCTCGCGCTCCTCTTCGGAGCGCGATGGACGATGGCCTACACGGGGATCGGTGCCGCTGCGAGCTGCGGCGGGCCGGGGAGGTGCGCGTCTCCTCTCACCATCATCGATGGTAAGGTTGTTCTGTGCGAGCGAAGGGTAGTCAGCAAACCGCATCACAAACTGGTGGAAACGCTCCATGGTGAGTCCAGGTTGCCCCTGCAGAGGGCGAGGTGAGGTGGGTGCTTTAAAGGGCGAGAAAAAGTGTGCCAGCTTGTGCGACGTGGTACTGGTGGCAGCCAGCATCCAGGCCGTCACAGTGATGGTGCTACATGGGGATTGGGGGGGAAAGGTGGCGGTGACAGGTATGGGTACATACAAAGAGTTCTTCGGCAGCGGTGCCAAAGGTGGACTTTTTGGGCGAGTCCTTCATGGAGGCTGACATGTCGACGAGATCGCGCGAGGCCTCCTTGTTGAACTCCTTCTCAAAGGTGGTGAGAAAGGGATTGCGCGACATTGGACGGCTGCCCGAGCTCGAGCGGTCGTTGGTGGCGGGGTGGAAGGGGTCGTTGTTGTTGTTGTTGTTGGGAGGCGAGGGAAATGCTGGGGACGTGGCTCGGTTGCGGAATGGGTTGTTGGAGGATAGGTTGAGGGCCAGGCCGGGCGAGGGACGCCGCTCTGCAGATAAGAAGGCCAGGCCGTCAGCGGACTACGCGTGGTTTCGTCACGTCACTGCCCAAGCGGGCAGCGGCGTGGACGGTGAAACAGGCGATCGAAGGGGGGGGTGGACTTACCTGGCATTGACGGCTCTGCAAACATGCTGGCGCTGTGCTGCTATGAACCCTGCTCAGAAGCCCCAGTCACACGAATCAGCAGCGGGCGCCAGGGGAGCCGACAGGCCTGCGCGGAGCAATTGTTGGCTGGTGAGCCGTGACGCGCGCGCTGCTCGCAATCCTGTTGCTACGACTCAGGCAGCTTGGGCACTGTGTGCAACGCTTTCCGTGGCGGTCTTGAGCACTCAGCAACACCGATAGGAAAAGGGGCGCAATTAAGACTGGCGGTACGGATGATGGGATGGGCGTGTTTCGCCTTGAGGATGCAGAAAGGGCCCTGGGCTGGGCGCCAACGGTCTGTTGCGGGTGGTGAGCGGGGCGATGTGGGATTGTGCGTGCGGGTGTGCAGGCGAGTGAGCACCGCGGTGAAGGGCGACTGATTAGTGGGCTTGAGTAGAGAGGCTGATGGTAGATTTGTAGTCTACTATGTATGCAATGGCTAGCTAGTGAATATAGCACCAGGCCAGAAGGGCTCGCAATAACGCAGGCAGGTCAAGGGACAGGCAGACCGGAAGGGGTGGGGAGGATGTGGGAGGGCGAGATGAGCCAAGGGAGAAATAGAGAAATAGAGAGAGAGAGAGAGAGAGAGAGACCTGAAAGGTGGAAGAAACCTCGGAGGGGAAGGGGGGTGGGGTGGGGAGGGGAGGTGGGAACGGTGAAGGCGGCAGTCAGTCTAGTTTGCGATGGGCAGGAGGCCAGGAGGTAATATACTGTTGCGCAATTCCTAGTCTCCTTTCTTCACGACCGGTGCAGGCGCGGCTCGAGCCTTTTGAGCAGTCGGCGGGCTCAGTGGCTCGTGTTGCAATGTTGCGTGGCACCCGCCTGTGATTCGGGCGGGGAGGGTCACGAGTCTTGGGTGACTAGAAGGCCAGCTCCAAGCCGGTTCCGTCGAAGACAGTGGAAAGGAAGAGACGAGACAAACGAACAAAGATGCCCTGTCCACTGCTGCTGCACCTTGCTCAGCCTTGGTGTGTAACCGTAGGTACAGATGCTATGTATGTACTATGGTGGATACGCAAGTCGGTCTCGTAGGTACCGTAACATGGGCGACGAGGGCCCCTCCCCCTCTCCAAATGTTGACCCTCGTCCTCCCTCCTTCTCATCATCATCATCATCATCATCATCATCAGATCCATGCAGGGGACACTGGATATCCATCCGACAAGGCTCAAGCCTCAAACAACTCGACGGTTCCCTGCCTGGATGATCCTCCATGGCCCTCCTGTTTTCGCCTGTGCCTGCTCACTTGTACCTAAACTACTCTAGTGCACCCTGCGTGCAACCCAATGTTCCGCCATCAGGTGGGTAGATGGTGGTATGGTACCTAGAGTCGTAGTGTGGTGGCTACCGTTACCTAGTACCGACTAGAAGCACACCTGAGCACGCCCACTACCTACCGGTATCTGGCTTGGCCCATTTGTGTATGTACCCGTATGGTGTACTGTCGGTACCTAGTACCTCGAGAACAAGACCAATGTATTCACCCGAGTCAGCCCAGTGAAGCTACTGTGGTCGGTAGAGGACCTTTGTATCTTTTTGTTCTACTACCTACGGTGATACTAGAACGAGGGCGGTGGGTACCTACTACATGTGCACTATGCCTAAACAGCCGGCCAACCCTCACCGCATGACCCCACGACCCGTGGTGGCTTCATCTGCCTTCTGTCTTGGCCTGCGCCTGCCGAAGCCCAGTCCTGGAGGTGAGGATATGCGCTCGCTTCTTTCAGCCAAGCTAGCTGCCGGCCTTTCACAATTTGCGGGGAAGACCCTGAAATCCTTTTTTTGTTCAGCCTCAGCTCCTTTTTGTGCACTGGGCCTGGACTTGGCCTTTCTACCCTTGCTACGCCTACTACCCTTACTACCCCTACTACCCCTACTACGCCTTCTACACACTACCTACACAGTACAGTCCCTCCCTAGGCACCAACCCACCCGGATCATCAGCATTCATCAGCATTCATCAACATTCATCAACATTCATCATCCTATCCACCCCATCCATCCCGTTCCATCACCCACCCCTCGTCAATCTCGTCGTTGTTGCATCGCACCCACCCATGGCCAGCCACAGCTCGCAAGAACTACCCGACGTGCCGGGCCTAGCAGGCTACTCGCGCTTCGAACTCGAACTAGAGGTCCGTATAGCCAGCAAGCAACCAGATCGACGCAGCCAGCCCCCTGCCCTGCTCTGTCCTGTTCTGTCCTGTTCTGTCCTGTTCCTGAGGATGGCTTCCTGACCACCTAGCTAAGACGTGCTCAGTTCGTCCAATGTTTGGCCAATCCCGTCTACCTCAATTATTTGGCCCAGCAGAAAACACTCGACAAGCCCGAGTTTGTCGCCTATCTTGGCTACCTGCAGTACTTCAAGGAGCCCAGATATGCAAAGTTTCTACAGTACGTACTCTGTCTGCACCCCCACCCCCACCCCCACCCCCCACCTTCATCATCTTCATCAATTCCCCCTTAGCTCGCTTACTGAGCATGTGTTTGCAGCCACCCTGGTCCAACTCTCAGGGCGCTCGAGCTACTGCAGCAGCCGCGCTTCCGCAAGGAGATTCTCTCGCCCCTACTTGTAGACAGACTCACCATCGAGGGCCAGAGGAATGCATTGCCCACCCAGAGAGATTGACTGCCATCTCCATGAACGAGCGTGCTGTTGTCTGCTTCAGAGGCGGGCCTGTTCAGTAGGTAGTCGTGACGGACGCATGGAATGACGCTCTACCTGCCTCACTCCTCTTCTGCCGGCGGCGTTCGGCTGAAATCAAAATGCATGGTTCCGAATGAGCGCAAAAAGCATGTAGCCGTTGTCGCAAGGTGGGGTGGCAATCACGATGGCTCTCGATACGGTCTACAACCTAGGCGGGTGTACTATACATCGAGCACTTGCGTCCGTACATGAAAGAGTGCACCGTTACCTAGATCGGCCCTCACGTTTTTGGGTGGCATTCTCACTCTATACAATAGGGCTGCAGAGACTATTCTACGTACTTACCTACTGTTACTTACTGGTCCTTCATGGGCAGACAATGGTCCCAATGGGAATGACGTTGTGTGTTCTAAATTTACAAGGACAGAAATACCTAGGAATAGCCGGCCATATTATATACTATGTATACACAGTACGAGCTCAACATGTTTTCCCTCGTATCCACTGCAAACATAGCGGTACCCTAACCTACCACCAAAAGTGCCCAGCCCACAGCCCATAGCCCACGGCAGAATTGCTTCTCACACGTGATTCGGTACAACGAAGCCCCGCCGCCCAATCGGGACCCCCACGTCACTACGCGCCATGGCGACATAGCATCCTGAGGTTCACCATCAGGGTACTGCGGGATTTGTAAACTTTCGTTGCACCTTTAAATCTCACCACTACCAATATGCGCTCCGTGGCAGAAGCCGAGTACGTTCTTCCTGTATGCTTCCCTCACTCTGGCTAATATCCCCGCCCCAAGAAATCACTGGTGCCAGCTAGACGACTTCCACTCCCTGACCGATTTGAAGATTCATGTATCTTCGCACAAGGAGCCACTGATAACGGCAGGCCTGAGATCGGTTTGCTGGAAGGTGTGTCCTGTTCAACCAGCTACGCGACCGGTGACTTATCGGCCTAGATTTTCCTCGTCTTCAAGACTCTCGACCGCTCCTCATGGCCTACTCGCCTCAGCCACTCGCGCAAAACGTACGAATCGCTACGGTCACACTACCTCCGCGCCATACAGAACCCTGACGAGTTTGAATCTTCAGCGGATCCACTGAGCGATAACAGTGAGGTATATGCCACCCCCGGACTACGCCTGTCTAAAGCACGTCGAATATTGACTCGTGCTAAGCGTTGAAAGTCCCCATGGGTCGCCCTACGAGCCGACGAAGATCTGCGAGCCGAAATATTCCAGGACATCGAAAGATGTATGCCCGACAATGTCTACTTTCGACAGCCAGCAACACAGAACATGATGTTGGACATATTATTCGTCTGGTGCAAGATGCATCCAGCCATAGGCTATCGTCAAGGCATGCACGAGATACTTGCACCTTTGCTTTGGGTCGTGGAAAGGGATGCTATAGAGCTCAAAGGTGCGAGCGTGGGCAGTGTCGATGACACTCTTGCAGATGTGATGGATGCAAACTACATCGAACATGATACGCATATGCTTTTCGCAATCATCATGCAGACTGCCAAATCGTACTATGCACCAGCCGACTCCGGTTCGACAACAAAGGATACACCCATGCTCGCACGAAGTTCCAAGATCTTCGAGCATTATTTACCAAAAGTCGATGCAGAACTGCACGCGCATTTGGTCAAGCTTGACATTGTGCCTCAAATCTTCTTGCTGTAAGTAGAGATGGACTCTTCTTTGGCCAGGCTGACAGGAAGGAGGCGATGGATTCGTTTACTTTTTGGACGAGAATTCGCGTTGGATGATGTCTTCGACATGTGGGATGCGCTGTTCGCCATTGACTCCACGCTGGAGCTCGTGGATATGATTGCTATATCTATGCTGCTTCGTATACGGTGGAAATTGCTTGCAGCCGATACCAACGAGGCTTTCACATTGCTGTTGAAGTATCCCGAGCCAGCCACACCTGCGTACACTTTTATTAAAGATGCTCTATATCTTCGCGATCACCTCGACGCCCAAGGGGGTACTGAAATCATCACACGATACGGACAGCCGCCACCTGCCAAACGACTCGAACCTGCACCCAGCTTTCGCGAGCCCTCGCCGTCTCCATTCTCGTCTCACCGGGCACGCAACAGCTTGGGGTCCCCAAGAAGCTTTGTTGGTCAGCAGGGAGCTGGCATCGAAGCACTCTTTCAAGGTGCGGCGAAGAACGTCCTTGAGCGAGGCTCACAATGGGGGGTAGGCAAAGCACTGCGAGATGCTGTAGGCGAGGTAAGAAAGAATGTTGAGGCTTATCAGTCAGGTACAAACTCCGGTCAGAGCACTCCAAGATCGGGAGGGCGTGAATTTCGAAGACCTGCACAATTTGGAGCTGCGAACACAAGGCCCGGTCCAGATCGAGCCTATTCGGTCAATGCAAGCAAGAAGATAGAAGAGCTTGATAGACGAAACGGTAGTCTAGCCAAGATGCTGGAGGCCGCTGTAGCCGATCTTTGGGAGTACCATAAGGAGCGGAACGAAGATCAGAAGGTGAAAAAGGCAGATGACAAGAGCAAGGAATCTTTGGAAGCTTTGAGCCTTGCTATTGCAAAAGTGCAGTTTGTGCAGGTCTATCTCGAAGACTCTTCGATTCCCCTTCCGGTCGAGGAGGTCACTGAGCAGGCTGCGACTGCAAAAGCTGTCGCAACTCTTTCGTCTTCGGAGGTTCAGTCACCTGCACCTTCGGAGAATGTACCAGCCGTACAACCAATCACCGTGACATCAACAGCTGAAGCTGTACCCAAAGATCTCATCAGCACAAAATCGTCCATCGCTGCTGATTCCCAGTCCATGTCACCAACAAAAGCACAGCCACGATCGCCCTTGAATGTAAACCTATCACCACGCTCCCGGCCTCATCTCACCTCTTCAAGCTTCTCATGGATGTTGGGTGAGGAGTCAGCATCCTCAGACTTTGCTACTGGCGCAGCTCACTCGACGTTCTCTGCTGACGAGAAACGGCGGATGAAGGGAAAGGGTTTCCTGTTTGGTGAGGATGATGACGACGAAGGTAGCATCAAGGACGGCAAAAGAGGGAGCATCAGCAGCAAGTCCAGTTCCAAAGGCGGAAAGAGCGCAAAAAGCAAGCATGCATCAGACCATGCCGAGGTTGAGGAGGAGGTGATTGACTTGGCCAACATGGGCGCACGAGGAGTGATCTGACGGGAAGATGGCATGACACATCACAGACCTCAGTTGTGTGGAGACCAACGCAGTGGCAATGGAGACAGGCCTCCAAACCCCACAAGTACCACGTCAGAGGCTGTACCTCAGACCCAATGTGCAACAGTGATCTCGAATCCGTAGTCATCATGCGTCGGCACGGGTATATTTGTCTGGAGTAAGCCGAGCTTGGTGTGTAGAGAGGTTGACATTGATGCGTAGTTGGAACCGTCGGTGCTCATCGACATCTTGAAGGACAAGGAAGAAATAGTGCCAAAATCACAGATTCATCAGATCAACATCTTACGCCATGGACGTGTAGAGAGCTACTGACCAAGGTATCTTCTATACCTACTACCTTTCCCCCTCACGGCCAGTCCCGATGATAACAGCACCTTTCCTATTTCCTAGTCTCACCCTTCCAACGCTCCTCATCCGCCCCACCAATGCAGTAAGCTGCCGTAGCTCCTCCACTAAACCTCACACGCTCGGTCCCACGGAATATGCTCAAATTCAGGATACCGCATGAACACACGCCTCACAGGCTGCCAACGACATGACCAAGCCCTGGAAACGATCCACTTGACTCGGTCGCCATTCGCCCAGCACAAACCAGATCTGCTTCTAGCCCTCGGGTCGGAGCTATGAGTCGCCCAGCGCGTCCGAACCACCACTTATCGGTCCCAAACCACTGAGGCCCCCCAACCCATAAGCCCAGGCACTACAGCACTAACGCAAGGGAACTGTGGCTACTCGGCGTGGCATGTTTGCATAGGGTGCAGCGTCCGCAGTGGAGTGCAGTCAAGTGGCAAAGAACTGCCAAAATTAGTGTAGGTGACCGGCGTGGGTTGCGGGTGCGAGATGCTTGGGTGCTGTGTTGCTGAGAAGATAAAAGGCTGCCCCGCTCTTGCCCCTCGTTTGACCTTTCTTCTCTTCCTCTTCACCACGCAGCAATCAAAAGCAACAAGCAACGACTTGAACAAACCGCTCAACCCACTTTCCAAAACACGAATCTATCCATCAAAATGAAGGGAGGCTGTGGAAACGCTGCTTGCACTTGCGCCGACTGCAGCTGCGCTGCAGGTGGCTGCACTTGCGGCCAGTAGTATGTTGCCCCTCCTTGCCTTTCTCTCTCCTAGCTGCCCCCCTTCCCCCTCGTCCAAACTTTGTCACGACCAGCACATCCCTGGCATGGCTTTCTTCTAGACTCGAAGCCTGCCCTTCTCAAGCGTCTCCCAGAAATAAACAAAACACTTGCTCCGTTTAGCAGTCACTAACACGCATGTACCACAGAACTCTCTCGTCACATGACAATCATGTCTTCTTCTCTTCCTCTCCTCTTCTCACCTTTCTCGCCACGATAAGATCAAAGCCACGGCCCAACAAAACCTCTTCTCTCCTTTCTTTTCACAAGGCCAATAACGGGACGAAGACATTACATATCCGAGCCTCCGACATGCCCTGTCCTTTGACCCCCCTTTTCCTATGGACAACTGGATCATCGACAGTGCTGTTTGGGCGGGGGGGGCTTGCAAGGGGATTCCACAATCGTTAACTTGGATGTTTGATTTTGTTTTTTGGGGGGTTTTCTTTGAGGGGAAGGGTGCTGGGGAGGAAGGTAGTTGCGTGAAAAGATGAATGCATGCATTCTATCGTATGTGTGAATTGTGTTGTTGATACGGTGAAGCGATGTGATTGTTGCATGCTCGTGCTCGTACTCTTGCCCTACCATACCATACCACACCCCAACCAACCCTCCAAAACCACGGCTCATTTCCGCACTGCAAACTCTCCACTATACACAACAACAAATGACAAGAAAAAAAAATCAACAACAAACACCCCGCTATATCAAAAGACCAGGATAAATGGGAAGAAAAAGCATTCACACTGCATCACATAACGACCATACACGCACACATGCATACATGTACATCCACACACAGACATGGTTATATATATGAATATATATGATCTCCCACCCACCAACCCTCCCCCCCCCCAAACTCGTACCCAAAACACCACGCCCATACAAAACCCAACCCCCATTGAAAACAAGGAGAAACCCCCCCCCCCAGATATTCCACAATACAATAAGTCCGTAACCCGAGCAAAGCAAACAAGAATGAGAATGCGATAAAAGACGAATACACAACCCCTTCTTCTCTTCTTCACGCACAGAAGTGGTGCGGTGCGTTGGGCTTGTATTGCATTGCGATTGTAGGGAGATGAAAAAAGAGGGAAAACAGAGAATCCCACCGTCTTTCCTTTGATGACGCCTTGGTTTGAAAATAAAAAGGGAGGGGTACCGAAATGAAAAAGATAGAGTGATGCACATGAAGCCCGTTTCTATCCTGGTATATATTTTCCTCGTCTTGATCTTGCTCGTCATCCTTTCTCCTACCTCTTTCTCCCTGCTTTTCTTCTGCTTTCTTGTACACCCATCATGGCCTGCTAGGTAGCCGTCTTCAGCCCAGCCGAGTAAATCCTCTTTAATTCTGCCGACTCGCTCTCCCCCTCCCGTCTTCCTTCTCTTCTTCACTCTCAATCACTTGCTCTGGAAAAAAAGTGCGCCAGGTCTCCTAGTACCCCTCATCTTTTTGATTCTTACCCGCCTCAGCCTGCGCCTTGGCATTGGCCTTCTCCTCCTCGGTCAACTCTACGAGATCCGCGCCATCCAGACGAAAGCCCTTGGCGTCGACAATGTGCTCGCTCGCGGTATTGAGGTAGAGTTGGTGGAGTCTGGGCAGGAAATACTGCATGACGCTGTCTGCAAGATCCTTTGCGACGAGGCCCTTGTCGACCCAGTAGTGGCGGACAAAGACACCTTTGCAGCCGCCGCGATTGACGGCCTCCGGGGCGCCGTTGGCTTCAACGCAGGGCAGAACGCGGATGTCGTCTGGGCGGTCGAAGTCGTAGCGCAGGTAGTTTCCAAACGCGGCTTGTTCATGCGCCCAGTCGAGTTTCCAGCGGGCGCAGCCGGGGTACTTCTTCTCCGAGGGACACTCGGCCCAAGCTCTGTACATGTCTTGCGTTCGCTTGCTCTGACGCGCAATGACAAAGCCCGTGTTGAGGAAACGGTTGCCCTTGTCGTCGTAGTTTTGGGGCTCGTTGGGGTCAATGGCCATCATGGCGAGGGTGTCGTCGGTCATGTTCCAGTAATTGAGCAGCCACTCGAGGGGGAGGTGCGGGTAGTGGAACATGACGTCCGAGTCCATGAAGACAATGTAATCGTGGGTTTTGAGGGCTTCTTTCATCATCGGCACCTTGACCCACGTGCCCCAGCGGTCGGCGTAGTCGGGGGCGCGGATGAACTTGTAGTCGTAGCCGTGGATCTTTGCTGTTGTCAAGCTGTCAGTTTATGCACCAGGCAAAGCCATCGACGGCCCTGCATGCAGAAGCGTGGGGACTATACCGAACATGTAATGGCTGAGCATGCCAGCAGATAGGGGCCGCATTGACTTCCACTTCAACTTCTTGTCCATGAGCTGGCCCGGGGCCGTCAACGGCCGGCTGTCAATGTCCAGTATGAGTACCCTCTTGCCCAGCTTCTTCGTGAACTTTGGCTCGCCGTGCAGGCGGTAGACGTCGCCCTCCTCGGCCGTAAAGTTGGCCGCATCGACGGGATGTAGTATGGGCCCGTAGAGGGCTTTGAGTATGGTAGACATGGAATCCTCCATGGATGTGTCGCCATTCGAGGGCGATGCATATTGTGCAGTTGGATATCTGTCGCACGGCCGTTAGAGATTGTGGCATGTGATTTCAGGGCGAAGGGGGCGTACTTTAAGGCGGCGAGGCTGGTGGGCATGTATGCAGAGGGAAGACTGAAGTAGAAGACTGCGAAAATAACGGACACCAGGGTAATCAGCAGAACGCGCCGCCACCGCCCTTGCGGGCTCATGTTGGCCAGCGGTGTGCTCAGCGAGTTGGCCAATGATTGGTACGAGTAGTCGGCCATGCCCGTGAAACAGCGTGACTCCTTTCCAGCGATACAGAGTCGGATCGGGTGGGAGGATTGGGGTTTGGGTTTGGGTAGATTCGTAAGATGGGTTAGGGACCTTGGAAGGAGGTGCAGGGAGGCGGAGGTCTGCGGCGAGACGGGTGCTGCCGCCGGCCAGGGATCACAGACTTGGTGCACAATGCGGGCTGCAGCCACAACAAGAACAGCAACAGCAACAGCAACAATCGTTGTGTGGTGGCTACAATGGGGAGATGGACAGGCCAAGAAATGTGCAGAAGAGAAGACGAGGAGAATGACGAAGCACGGCGAATGTCAGAAAAGGTGTCTTGTGGGGAGAAGGAGGAAGGCGCAAGTGTGCCCTAGACGGTCCGGTCAGCAGCCAGCAATCAGCAGTGGAACAGCGAGCACGGTTCTGTTTTGTTAGCCTTGGGGACTCTTTGGTCAGAAGCTTGATGTGCATCGAGGCTCTGTGCGGTGTCCATGTATCTTTGTAGTTACTGTTGTAGTTGTCTTTGTAGTTGGCATGTGCCTAGTGTGTATGACTGGGGTGTGTACCTACATGGAACTTGTACTGTACAATGTGTATGCCATGTGCTACTTACATGGAACTTGTACTGTACAATGTGTATGCCATGTAATGTGTATGCCATGTGCTACTTACTACCAGACCTGTGCAAAGCCACCGTCGTCGTTGAGAGGATGGAGGGCGGCCGAGGTGAAATGGATGCTCAGGGGGGGGGAGCCACCAGGCGGAAGATCTGCACAGCAAGCCAAAAAAAGAAAAATCCACACTCGGAAGTGGCGTTGAAATTGCCAATTCCATCTCGGCACCACCTAGTACACTCTATTGTCCCGCTACTCTAGGCCTGTCCGTCCATCTCATAACCCTACCTCTTCTCGCAGACACCCGACAGCCAAATCCGTACTCCACGGGTTCCTCCAAGAGGTGCGCGTCGCCATACGATCCCACTCCCGTGACTTTGCAACAACCTGCGTCCATGGCCATCGTCTTTGTCAAAATCCATCTTTGGCCGCTGATGTCCCGCATGCGGTTAGTCGGCTTTTTAGAGCCCGAGTGCCTGCATGTCCGTCCTTTTGCCTACCGTTACCAGCCATACTAGGCACACAAGTAAGAGTAGTACCGGTACAATACTGTACTACTTCGCTCCCCCCAAAAGCACACTCTCTACATGGCAGAATCTCCCACAAGCACAAGGCAGAAAACAGCCATCAGCCCCATCGTCTTGGGACACTTGTACATCCTCTCTCCCTGCGAATCGGTAATCCACCTTTGCACAACCACGTCGACAAACAAGGGAGGAGTCATCGGACAGGCCAATCGACCAATCACATGTCGAGTGAGCGCAGCAGCTCAAAGTCCTTGGCAATCCCCGGGCTGCTTCTCGCGCAACTCTCAATCAGCGTCATCATAATCCGAACCCACGGCTGCCAGTCGGCTGGCAATGTGTCTTGCAGCTTGCGGTCTGGCGATCGCGCCACGGCCTGGAACAGCAGCACCTGCCCAAAACATTGGCAACACCACCCGAATTTGATTGGCAGTGCCGACAGCATCTGGGTACACAGTCCCATGGTAGTCGGCCAGTACATGCCCCCTCGCAACCCTTCCTTGACCTCGTTGTACTCCGCATCCGTCGTGACGCCCGGCGCGTGCAATGCTTTGTAGAGAAACGGGCGACCAATGTGGAATTTGGCAACAAGATAGCGACTCCGCAGCATCGCTTTGGCAATCACATGTGCTGGGCTGGCCGAGTCGTTGTCGCTTTCATCGTCTGAGAACTGCAGCGATGGCGGTAGATTGGCGCGCCACTGCTCGAGTTGATGGTGCATCTCTGTCGTCACGCTCGTACTCGGGAAGCCCTCCTTCTCAGCAAAATAGTACAGACTCTGTTTGACGCGCGTGAGGATGATGCGATGAGCGGCCTGAGCGAGGAAATGAAAATTGAAAAACGAGTCGTCCTCATCAGTCACGAGAACTGAAATCGATGTCTTGGGGCGTGGACATTGCGTGAATTTCGGCAAGGGCATGTCAGACTCGTACTCCAATAGCCCGCTGTGAGGGAGAAGATCAAGCTCTTGCGTGATGACCGTCTCGTACATCAACGTGCACCAGTAAAGCCGGGAGAACATGTCGCCATCCCACTGGTGGAAGTCAATCACCTCCCCACGGCTCAGTAGGCTCGTGCAGCAAAGCGCTGCTCGGTTGACAGTGGCCCAAGAGTCCAGAGGCCGCAGGATCTGCGCGTAGTACAGTGTCGACAGCATGTAAAACTGACCCGCTACGACATCGTTCTGACAGATCAGAAATCCAAAGCGCCTCCTAGCCTCATTGAAAAACTTCAACCCAGGTGGGTCGTCGTTGATCAACTCGTACCACTCTGGACGCACAAAGCCACGCCCAGACGGTGCAGATCGTGAAGGAAGTGCAAAGTCTCCTTCCTCATAAGCTCTGACAGCTAGGCTGCCGAGCGCCAATACGTTCAGCGCCAGACATGATTCAATATCATACCCAAACTCGTTTTCAGCAGCCATACCCAGCGTAGTCGAATAAAAGTGGTATTTGTCGAGTACAGGTGTGATGCGATGAAAGACAGCAAAGTATGCATCTGAGAGTCCTTTGACAACAGATTGCGGAAGGCTCATTAGCCATGTGTCGGGAGATGTACCAAAAGGTCTATCAATGTGCACTGGCAGAGGTGGTCTCTGACTTTCGATTTCGCCAATATAATCTTGTGGCAGCCCGTCTCTTGCGGAAACAAACTCAACGGGCAGTATTTGTTTGATGGCGGGCCACAGTGATACACGATGCTGACTGAAGGAGAGTGCGACTTTACTGGGAGCTTCCGGTATTGGGAACGAGGTTTGCACAGGAGTTCCAGCGACCTGTGGTGACATTGCCATTTCGTGCACACTCGCTCTTGCATGATTGTGACGATACAACAAAGCAGCCGGACTCTGAAAGCTGGGACTGGTTTGAGAGACGGTAGAGGAAGGCGACAGATGAACCAGATCCGACTCCGCAAGCAATGGCTGGCCTGGCGATGCCGTCTTTGGTGTGATGATGGCAGCTGTCAGGTCTTCAATCTTCGTTTCAAGCCTCCTGATGGCATTGATAGCCACGGCCATGGATTGATCCTTCTTGGTGGCGCGTGGTGCTTGATACGTACAGGGCAGATTCATGATTCTGCAGTAGCCACACTTTGGCCTGTCTTCGTCGCATCTTGTTTTCCTGCCTCTACAAACGTCGCATGCCTATCAAGTCAACACACGAGCGGGAATAGACAGTGAAGGCACACTGACCAAGGTAGCCATGAATGATCGAGGCCTCTTCAACGCAGACCCATTTGCATCGTCCTGACTTCCATTGCCCTCTACATCATCAGACGCTTGTCGATCTGAATGTCCTGCATGCGAACTCGTGGCAATATCATGGGACCTCTTGGTCATAGCCCTTCCAGCTGAAATGTGTGATTGTACATTCAGCGTGGTGACAGGAGCTGGCTGGCGCCGGTCCTCGTCTACAGAATTCGGAGCTAAGTCCAGATTGAGAGGTGAGGCTGCCAGGGTAACCCTAGCGTCGTGCACGGTCTCCAGCCCTGGAGCACGACCTCACACCTCACCTTCCCTATCACCGTTCCCATGATCAACCTCCAACTTGTTTTTCGACATGCAGTAGACGGCAGGGCGATTACAGCAATCATATGCGGGCCTTGAGTGGTCTCGCGACCCTCTTCACTAACTGAGTTGCTTCCTTGCTGACCAAGATCGGACAGAGACTCGTACAATCCAGTATTGTATGGGCTTTTGAGCTCCGCATCACTTGGACAGATATCAGCTTCAAGCATGTACTGCTCTTGTTGAATACTCAGACTGATTGGTATTGAGTATACACATTGATCAGTCACAGAACTTCGGCCTTCAGCAGCCGGCTTGCAGCTCCAGCCTCCATCTGTGTTCATCTTTGGTGTCTGGTCCTCGAAAATCTGATTTGCTTTGCTGATTTGCGTTGCTGATTTGCTTTTTGCCACGCGTGGTTTTACCTTTGGCTCTATTGAGTGTATACTGATACTGATTCTGGCACCCAATTTCAAAACTCTCCCGACGGCGATCACCCGGTCTTGCCAATTTCTTCTGAGCTCCTGTCATACAACCTAAATGTTGATGTCCGATTTATCAATTGCTTGTCTGCATGACTGCATACCAAACTCTTTGCCGCGTACCTGTTTCGTCTCTAGCTGATGTCCACCAGCATGGCCAGGGTTTTCGCTGTTGTCAATGGAGCTTGTAGAGAAGCATCACATCGGCTCAACAGCATCCATTTTGATCTGAAATGTCCTTACCAAGACTTGCTCATCCACGGACCAGAGTGCTGCATTTATATATTCATTATACCGCCCGAAGGTCTAAATCATGACATCGCAGCATGTGACATCCGTTTGTTCCTGGTACCCTACAGTCTCCGATGCCCCGAAGAAGGTGTCTGCAGTGCCGTAGCCTGTGGTCAATATCCTCCACCAGCTGCCCGAGCAAGACAGGCCAAAGCAACCAAAGCTGTCTCATCGCCGTGGGTACTTCAACATCTTTGGAATACAATCAGGTGCATTATCCCTTTCAGACGAAGTCGCAGGTCCACGCAGGCCATTTGAATATGTTTGACGAGACGCTTCCGTGGTCTGTCAAGGTCACATGAAGTTCACGCTCCATCTCTAGACCTCGGATTATATCAGAGTCCTGTAATCGTTCAAGTCACGCCATGGTCTATACCACAAGCGCATATTCCACAAGCCCCTACTGGAGTTCCTGCGAACTATCGTTCCGTTATCTCGACGTCCGATTCCCTAAGCATCTGGAAGATCACCGTGAGACTACTGTGGAGTCAACCAACGCCATGGAAAATACGATAGCCACGTCACTACAGCCAATAGACAGTCCATGTGAGCTGTCGTCCCACCGTAAAATGCCGCTAGTTGGGTGAATAGAAGGCCAGGAAACCCTTCTGTCCAATCAAGAACGAACAGGAGGACAGGAATCATTGATATCAGGGTCCACTCCAACCGATAAGAGCACCTTCTTGGTTCGAAGATATCACGGTGAGGAATATCCTGCACTAGGGATTTGCTGGAAGTGGCTATATAAGGTGGCCTGCTGCCCCGTCCTAGACTTTTCCTTCTTTCCCCACAGCAGCTTGCCAGACGATTTCACTTGCAGTCAAAATTTAGCTCCATTTTCTAACTTTGAAAAATCTAGCAGACCCGGACCTTCAAGCAGAGCCAGCAGAATGTCTTCCAACATCATCTCTGCCACTGTCGCTGCCGATAGCGCTCAGTTCCAGGTGTTCCCGAACGAAATCCTCATCAAGATCATGGTCTACCTTCTGGCCAGGCCAGATGGCAGCGCCATGGGCGACGTCGACCACAAGCACTTCCCCCTCTTGTTCATCATGGGCATGTTCAAGAAGATGCGCTACATCTCACGGACTTTCAACGACCTTGCGATCATGGCCTTTTACGAGGCAAACAAGTTCAAATTCATAATCCCACATCTGGCTACGTCGTCCTCCGGCCAAGTCCGCATGAACGACCACGTCAACGTTCGGTCTGCTCTTCTCCCGCCCATGGCTGTCCGCGGCTACTTGCGACACATCAGCATCGACTTGGTCCTTCAGGACCACTTCAAAACTTCCGATCCTTCGAAGCCCAACAACAGCAGCTTGTCGATCGAAAGGTTCTTTGCCAACCCCTCCCAGCTCTTTGCGTACTCGCCCTGTGCCCGCCAGCTCCGCGACCTCACCCAGTCCATGTTTGGTCTCGAAGTCTTGAACCTCAACATCACCACCTGGTTCGTCCGGCCAGACCGCAAGGCAGCAATTGCTGTCTTCAAGGCCGCAAAGTTCGAGGTGAAAGCCGGCAAGGTCAACGTGGTGATCAAAGACCACATCGAGCGCGCTACTCAAGAGTGGCATTCTGAGTTGGTTCAAGCCATCACCGGGCAGTAGGGTGGAGGACTTGGTGGATGGAGCATGGGTACGGAATACTACTATGTAGTGATCATATATGTCTGTGGTGTTGAGCACTTCGTTCGGATAGCGTGTCGTTGTTGCCACAATGACATGTAAATGAAACGTCTTTTCCTTGCTCATCACTATTGACCTCTTATTCCTCCACGTGACACCTTGGTCTGCTAGTAAAGTGTATCGAGATGTACTATGCTTTCCTATAATTCCATGTTTCTACTCATGCTATATTTCCTATGCATACTCACTACCTTGTATTCAGGTATGACCACAAATCTCATCATAGGATACTTACAATACCTGGATAATGCATGCCATTTCCTCTGCAAACATTTACATACATCCTCAAGCATACATGCTTAAACATCTATGCTTACCCTGTGTATCCTACCAGAAATAGACAAGTAGGATCCTAGCTTCGCTATTATGCAGATAAGATTGTGCTTGATAGTCTTGAAGCCGTTACAACGTCGTCGCACAAACCACCGAAATGCACCTTTCGTAACTTCTACCTCGCGCGACTCTTCCCCATAATAGCGCCAATGTCCTCCCTCTTTTCCAACACAGGAGAGCATCCAATTTACCCGTCTCCCTTCCCCTATAGGTGTAGGTTAGGTGGTTAGGCGAGTGTTTCTGTGGGCGCGTTTGCGTTTGAGAGTCAGGTGGATGAGGCCGTTTGTGCGTTGGAGGTAGATGGGAAAGAGAAATCAGTGTATAGCAGGAGGGGGATAGGAAAGGTACCGGTAATTGGTGTATCACAGCGCTAAGGAACGAAATCTGCATGTTAGGACATAGTATCCTCCCATCAAAGAGTAGGACACAGAGCAGATAAGGCGTCTCGCCCTCATGTGAATCAGTTTAGGGGGTGCTGGGAATGCCAATCGTTGGAACTCTAATAGATGGATTTTGGGAGATGGGGTAATGATACCGGTACTATGACCTCCTTGTTGTTTTCAGACTGACAGATTGGCTTGCCATGTCGCACCCTAACAACCCTCGCCACAACCCTGCACCTCACCCCCTCCGAACTCCTTCCCAAACACCAAGCAACCCTCCTCATCCTCCACGATCCTCATCTTCAACTCAGACGCAGAGTACGCGCACAACGAGCTGCTGCGCCACTAGACCAACCAGGCGCCCAAAACCACGCCCTCAAGAGTATATGGGGTAGTCAAAATAGTCTGAGGAGCTTGGTGGTGGTTGCGGCCGCGCAGAGAGAGGCGTCGGAGGAGGGGTGGGCGAGGCGGAGGGGTACAGCCCACAATTTCGATTCTTCTTATGATGACTTCCACTCGCGCATGTCTTCCACTTGACAGGCAGACATGTCTTCCATTATGTCCTCGGCCACTCTGCCCTTGACGCGTGCCTCGGTCGAAGCAGCTCATGCGCTGATCAAACCCCACATCCATACTACACCCGTCCTGACAAACACCACCCTCTCGACCCTCGCCTCGACGCCACAAGCGTCTGATGCGCTCAAGGGGACCCCGTGGGAAGGGCAAGAACCTGCGAAACCGAACATTAGATTGTTCTTCAAGTGTGAGAATTTCCAGAGAATAGGAGCGTTCAAAGTGCGGGGGGCGTTTCATGCGGTGCTGCGGTTGATTGAAGAGAGGGGCATTGAAGAAGTGCGGAAGAAGGGGGTGGTTACGCATAGCAGTGGTACGTCTATCAGCTCTTCCTGCTTTGAGCATGCGAGCATGCGTCAAGGGGTATAATTTGGGTGTCACTCAAGCCTGACATTAGACAACAGGCAACCATGCGCAAGCTCTCGCTCTCGCTGCGAAGACCTTTGACATCCCCGCCCACATTGTCATGCCCACCATTAGCACACCCTCCAAGATCGCCGGAACCCGAGCCCAAGGCGCAATCGTCCACTTCAGCGGCTCGACTTCCCAAGAGCGCGAAGCTGTTGTCGCAGAGGTGATCGCAACCACGGGCGCAACACTAATCTCGCCCTACGACCACCCAAACATTATCCTAGGCCAAGGCACCATGGCGCTCGAACTCCAATATGAGGTCGATGAGTTACTTCATCAAACACCAGGACTAGGCATACATGGGGCCTCTCGCCACGGCCTCGACGCCGTCATCGCGCCCTGCGGCGGCGGCGGCATGCTCAGCGGAATCGGCGTCGCACTGCACAACAGCGGCGTGCGCGTCTTTGGCGCTGAACCCAGTTACCAAGGCGGCGACGACGCACGACGCGGCGTTGAATCTGGGACGCGCATCACGAGCGTGAAAACGCTGACGATTGCCGACGGGCTGCGCACGCCGCTCGGTGACTACACCTGGAATGTTATCTCCAACAAGGCCTATGTTGCCGAACTATACGCCGTCACGGAGCAGAATATCAAGGATGCAATGAGGCTGGTCCTTGAACGAATGAAGTGTTTTGTTGAACCGAGTGCAGTGGTCGGGGTGGCGACTGTGCTGTATAATGAGGAGTTCAGACGCATGGTGGAGAGGGAAGCTGGGGCAGAAGGGTGGAATATTGGGGTTGTGTTTAGTGGGGGGAATACGACTATTGATGCTATCATGGAAATATTTGCAGAGCATGGAGCGGGCACGGAAGGTGAGAGGGCGGAAGGGGTGGTGGGCTTGGACGGGAAGAATAAGGTCGAGAATGTTGCTGGTTGAGATTGTGGTTTCAAGGGTGGATGTATTGATTAAAACCGTAGTCAAACTGGTCTACTGTTTACGAGGATCGGAGTATTGGTACGCTGAGTTGATGAAGCGCAGTATGCAATATACAACTAAACCACAATACAGGTCATTACCAATCCCCCCTCAAACACCAAAGTCAAAACTCTAGAGAATGATCACACTTCATGGACCATCAGCCAACTTTAGTATACTGTTACTCGCAATATGTGATACAGGACCTCACACACAGGCTCATATACACATGTGTTGAATACATGGACATACACAGGATCTGATGATCATTCACAGCCACGATTATATGAGATACACCTTGCGGGTGATCGAAGTTGTAATCAGCTCTGTCATAGTTCTCTATCCAGGGTAGCCAAGAAGGTAGATAGGTAAGTAGACACGAAGCATACGAAGCATAGCAACATACTCCATCACTTACTCAATCCATTTACCCACCTCCCCCAACTGCCTATACTATTCTCACACGAATCACCCTGTCATACATGACGCACATTGATCCCAAGAACACGAGGTATCAAACAAGACGGAAGCAAGGGTGGGGAATTCACCGACTGATATCATGGTTGGGCTTTGGGGGGGGGGGGGGGGGTGAGTAATGATGAAGTATTGATGCATGGAGTACAAAAGGTGGAATCTGGACCTCACTGATGTACTGTGACGAAGTGGAAAAGGTATATATTACGGTGGGGCTGTGCTTGTGTTATGGGTGGAGGGGTGGAGGACGTTGGTGTTTGATGTTCATGGGTGAGATGGCGTAGTATGCTGTCGTGTGAATGTACATATGCTCTTGCTTTACTCCAGGCCCCAGCTCCCGCTCCAGCCCAACCCATCAACTTTGACACGGAATATGGGTGTCACAATCGTCATGAACCACATCAAATCAGATCAGCCCCAGCGCCATATAAGGTCACTCTACATCCCATCCTACCACCCGGTTGCCAAGCACATGGCGCACATCGCGTACACGTGAATCTGTACTTGCACTGCATGTACACTGCGGGGCCTTGAAATCCAGGTTTCCATCAGGTTTTCGCAATACCGAGTTCACAATGTAGAGATTGCGCCTATTCGTCTGCAAGGATGAGGTACCAGGATGATCTCAACTTCGCCTAGATAATCAGCTCGACACGACGGCAGCGTCGACACCTTGATGAAGCGCTGTACAATGCGTTCACCACCGCTGAATTTCGTGACGGAGAGTGGCTGAGGGTGTGAGTTCTCGGCTGCTTTTCTCCTTGTACATCAAATATACACACGTACATATCTATCTACATACGTGCAGCACGACCCAAGAACGACATACCACGACTTATCGAGATACCGGTACATGCTTCTTCCCCCACGAACCCGAGACGAACTCGATCGCATGCCCGAGCCTTTCAGCCTGCGCACCCGCACTCTGTACCACCCAGTCATCCACTCATCGACCGACCTACTTGTCTGCCAAGCTCGTCTGCAATCTTGCATGCGCATCCACCGCATAATGCCATATATCCACGTACCCCCAAACCTTAAGTCGCATGTGTGGGTAGTACGTACGTAGCATGTATCTCCCAGACCAACCCAGCGATCGCAAGATACGCGAACTGCAAGAGAACCTGTTGCTTTTGCCACCTTGCATTGCATCGTCCGAACTACATACATGTAATGCGTGCTGTAGGTAGAGTATGTATGCTCCACCTATCGCCACGTCCGTCCCGTCCGCTGTCCTGCTCCACCCAATCTCCAATCCAAGCTTTCCTCATCCAATCATCCCTTATACCATTTGCCCCAAGTTACCTCTACATTTCCGCCATGCTTCGCGTACGTACCTAGTCCAGTATTCTCCACCTCGCGCAGCACGATCCCTTTCCCGGATCTCCTCAGCCAAGTCCGAAACCACCACCAACATCAAACATCAACATCCAAAGCCCCCATCCCATCTCGGCACACGTTATCAAGCGTGAGAAGAGACAAGAAACCGCCCAGCACCTACGCGCCTCGTCAAGCTCCGCAACAAGTCGTACGCGCGTTCTCTCCTTGCCGTTGGAGCAGAGGCGACCCAAGAGCGCGGGTGCGTACGTCGTGCTGACCGACCAGTTCCTACAGACCACACAAGGCCTGGAGCGGGCGCGCAAGCGTTGAGCCGCGGGATCGGGCCGTTGGGGGATGGAAAGCGGGCTCAAGCTTCAGAGTAGGTAAGCCGTGTGTGTGGCTTGGGATGTCAGCAAGTTAGTTCGTCATCGGGCGAGATGGTGACGAGGATGTTGATTTCATGGTGCTGCGGTGTTGCGGAGGCGTGGACTTGGGCGTGCGGGATTGGGCGTGTGGGCGATAAGGGATGGACTGAGTTGTTCTGCTTGAGCAGCAGGACGGGCGAGGCGGTGGATAGGAGTGGGATAAGCAGGAGAGTGAGTGGGTGGTGGCGGGTCAGAACTACTGCAGGGGGAGATTTGGAAGAGGGAGAGGGAACAGCGATGATGCTTGAGCGTTGCGGTGGATTTTTTTTTGTTGGGTAAAAGACTTCATTGGACTGAAGACATACGTTGGCCGCAACTGTTTCTTTTCTTTGCGTATACACGTGACGTAGAAACAGTCGACCTTGGGACGTGTAACGTCGCGAGATTGAAGATTGTACTCATGGTGACATGATAACATTGTTATGTTCAGAGAGAAAAAAGCAGCGCCTAGCCAAACGCGCTGATCCACCCTGTTTTAGACTCATGCAAAGCGCCTCATGGGCAGAAAGGAGAGTGTTGCAGAGAGAGGACGATTACCAGCCATCCGAATAACGTGAGAAAAAAAAGTAACCCGTGAAAATGTGTACAAGAAGTATTTGCATGTTTTAGTTTCTCATTAAATTCAAAGATTCTGCTTTCAAAGCATGACATGTGATGGCAGTGCAAGGCAAACACAATGCGTAAGTCGACAAGCTTTAAGTGTGACGACGGGGTGTTACCAAGGAGACCACAACAGTCATATCATAAAAGACTAGCGTGTTCTACCACGAGAACGATTCCTCGCGGAAGTCGACATTCCATGTTGTCTGGCGGTTGCGTACAGCGCGACGAAGCTCATCAGCCAAGCCACCTGTGCCGCACGTGCTTACACACGCAGCACCGATGCCTTCTTGCATCTCCTGATCGACAAGGCTTTGGACGTTCGGTCGGCCGGGGAACATCTGGACGCTTGATGAAGGTGAATGGATCTCCTTAGTGCTGCGTGGGCGTGTGACGAAGAGCAGGATTTTGAGGATTTCGCGGCGCCGGGGCATAGATAGGATTTGAGTCATCCAGGTGCGGATCCATTCGAGATGCTCGGGCGATTGGATGATCCAGACGAGGGTGAGGCGGCGTGTAGCAACGGTGCCATTCGCGTAGCCGGCAACAATGTCGCGCACATGCGGCACCTGGTGAGTAATACCGATACCAGCAGCCCAAAGCATGACAGTACCATAGGAACTGAGATTTTCGCCACCTGTAATGTGATGTTAGTATGAGGTACGTTGGAAAAATATTGGGTTAATCTATTCGATAGTGGAGTCTGCGGAAAGCTTCGGCACTTACCATATGGACCCTCCACAAATGCCGTAGTGGAAAATCTGCCGGCAGCAGTCAAGTTTGCTTTTTGGAATAGCTTGTCTGTGAAACCGGTTCGTCGTCGGATAATGAAGGACATGTTGGTCCTGTTGTGTTCGAGAATGTCTTGGCGGTTCATTGGCAAGCCCTTGTCATCAGCCATGGATGACTGCATCGAAGGGTCTTCCTCTTCTTCGCTCCATGCGATGGAAAAAGGGTGGTTAGTCCAAAGACCCACGGAGGGGATATATAGGTAGGCGTGTTGTCCTGGGCGAAAGTTCCAGGGACGTGCCATGCGGACCGTAACACGGAGGGCGTCACCAGGGAGTACCTCGACATCAGCCTTGGTACCACCCTTTCCAACGTTGCGAATGAGGAGACGAGCAAGACGCATGGTGCGCTCCATGACCCATAGAGCCAATACACCGTAGAGCATGAACTGTTGTGGGCGGTCCTTGAGATGGACCCACACAGCGCCGAGAGCAAGTGCAGCAGCTGCAATGTGGCCGTGCAGAAAGACCTCGTAGAACGCATGTCGCACTGGCGAAGGTGACTGAAGCAGAAGGAAGACGAATGCTACTGTTCCCTATGACTGAGTTAGCTCAGTCATCATGAGACTTCCATTACACATACGATGAAGCCAGTCATGATGAATTGACTGCCAGTGATGGATTTCTGTACGGCGCCCCAGCCCTCTATGCACTTGTTAGCTTTGTCGTTGATAAGAAGTGGGAGGACGCTCACCAGTATGGACCTTGTTGGAGATAT